GTTGGACACGCGGAATACGGTTGCTCGCTTCTTCACTACTGTGTGCGTACACCTTATCATTTTGTTTGTTGTAGCTCACTTCTACGGTAAACATTTTTTCATCCGAATAAAGAATTTCCCGATAGTTTTTTTTCCACGTACCGCTTCAACAAAGCGCGGCATCTCTTCGGTCTCAGGTCCATTAGACGAGCATTCAAACGATGTCCTGTTTTTCTTCGATATGCCCAAAGCCCTAAGTCTTCATTTAACACCCTTTTCACCGTGGTTCTGCTTAACCCCATCTGAAAGACCAATAGTTTTTGCTTACGTTTGGGATTTCTTTGAATTCGCGCCTTCACAGCTTTTATCACTGCTGGAGTCCTAACAGACCGAGGGCGACCACTTCTTGACCTGTCATCTACACTAGAGTCTTCATTGTATCGTTTGATGGTACGATAAACGAATCTTTTGGTTATATTCAAAATTTTCAGTATGTCAAAAATTTGAATTGGCGCGTAACCGCAACGATGCAACGCAATAACTGCAACACGGTCTTCTATAAGCGTCCACTCCATATTTAAAAATGAGTAAAATTCTAAAAAGTATACATTTTTATTTTCATGAACAATTCGAATTTCGAATTCAATGAACTTTTTTGTGGCCAGCATTCTAAAAGAAAAGTTTTTACTGTGTGACAATACTTATGACCTGACTGTGTATATATATTTTGCCCAGTTTATAGATCGTTGTATTGATTGTTTGGGCCAGAGTAGCCCGGCCAGACACATTACTGCGAAAATACAGCTTCGGATACAATGACACAATGCGGATAAAAAATAACTATAACTACACTACAACTTATACTTTCAAAAAAAACTTACATGTAGGTCATGTACGAAATAACTTTAATGCGAAGAGATGGCATTGCCTTGCAGCCTAAGCTATCGCTAGAGAAAATTTGACAAGGCCGCGGTACCATAATGGGCCAGTGCATCCGCCTGGATTGCGGAAGGTGCGGTTTTCTAGTAAAATATACTTTAAATTTAGTCATGTAGCAGTTAAAAATGCTTAAAAAATATTACTAGAATTACTATTTCTTCTTTCAAATATTAATTACTCGTAAAGGAGTTTCGTTGACATTGTGGGTTACCTATAATGCGAAGAGATGGTGCTGCCTTGCAGCCTAAGAAATACTAGAAAACTCGACACAGCCATCGGCCGTGGTATGGTAATTGACCAATTACCATACCAGTGCATCCGCGAAGAGTGCGGATTGGGCGTAGATGCAAAAAAAATAATTTATTTTCACTGTTTATTCAAACACACGGACAAAGAAAAGCTCATCCTATTCCTTGAAAGGGGTTATGCTAGAGGTCATTTAGCAACAAATTAAGTCAAGTTTAACTATGGGTCAAAATAAGGTCAAAACGGGATGTTTACCGAGTTGTGACGGTTCTTCGATTTATTTTGAATTTTTCTGACTTGCTGCCAAAAACCATTAATTGTAAATAAACTACTCCAGTCCAAACATTGAATTGATACCTTTCTGAAAGCTGAAAAATTTGTGATAATTAAAAATAAAACGCTTGCCCGAAACTTACACAATCTCGGAAATGAAACAACTTTAGTCACTTTTTACACGATGCAAATCTTTGCTTTTTACTTCTTGTTGCAACCATTTTTATTTTTGTATTTCGCCGAACTTCGCCTTAAATTATTAGAAAAAAACTGTATCGAATTTTGCGTACAAATTAGTTTCATAAGCTTTCTAACAAGGTACAATATTGTTAACATTATTAGCTGTTTTTATTAAAATCAGCGCAGGCGCTGTAGAGCAACATTTTCATTTTGATTTGTAAACTGAATTCAGATCGAAAAGTTAATAGTGTTTTTCTACTCTATGAATAAAATTCAATGTCGATTGATAAAGTTTAATGTAGTTTAAAAAATATTACAAATCCTGTTCAAACTGCCTGCCATTATAGTACAGTCAATCTGTCGAAAAAAATATCGTTTCAGTGAAAAAAAAACCTAAAGGGTAAGTCTTGTTTTTTCTGTTGCCAAATGACGTCAGTAAGCCACCTTGGCGATGGGCATGTTCAACTCGTAGGCGTTTTTTGAAAAACTCAAAAAAACCCTCAAAAATTTTTTGAAACGCATTTTTCTTGTTTTGTATGCATTTTAGAAACTTTTTTTTGACCATAATTGAAGAGGGCGTTGAGTGCTACAATTTATGTCATTGTTGCAATCTCGTACAACAAAAAATGCGCATTGTAGGTGGCGCTAAAGTCTCAAAAAAGTGGTTTTTCCCTATTTCACCCTGAAAATATCATTTTAATGGAAACTTTAAATGGCAAAGTTGTTTCGTACATAATTACCAACAACTTTTGTATAAACAATTTTTTTGTATTACTTACCGTTTTCAAGTTATAAATTGCGCAGGTGTGAAAAATCCAATAAGCAGTTTTGGGCAGTTCACGTACACATTTGCAGTGCACATTTCAATGTACGTTTTACTATTTTTTATTTTTTTCATGATTGAAAAACAAAAAAAAATGAAAATAAATAAAAAATAAAGTTTTATTTTTATTTTTTTTCATGATTGAAAAAAAAATAGTAAAAACGTACATTGAAATGTGCACTGCAAATGTGTACTTGAACTGCCCAAAACCGCTCTATTGGATTTTTCATACCTGCGCAATTTATAACTTGAAAACGGTAAGTTCGGCAGCTGCTAATCAAGCCATATTCGCACACCTCGGCAATAGTGAGCTAGGCACCCATCGTACTAGTACACCATATTTTCTTGTAGCCAAGGGTTTGTCTTGTTGGTCCACGGTTGGTCATTGGCTTGTCGATACGGCCAACTAAAGTTTAAAATTTCAAATTGTAGTAGCTGAGTGTCTTTGATAAGTAGTGACCTTAAATGAAGGATTGATCTCGCTTGATCACAAATCATTCATCTATGGTAGTGACACAGTCAATATGACAGTATTTCAATTTATAAATCAAAATGAAAAGTTTGCCCTACAGCGCCCTTTTGCTGATTTTAATAAAAACAGCTAAGAAAGTTAATAACCTTTTTAACTTTTTCGAAGTCATTTTACTTATTTGTACGCGTAATTCGGTACAGTAATTTTTCAATAATTTACGACGAAGTTTAGGAAAAAACAAAAAAAATATTACTAAATTCAAAAGAAAGGACGATTCAAAAGAGCTTTTGTGAACTTGAATAAACTTTATTTTTCAAGTCTTGCTTGCTTGAACACAGTTTAGTTTCATTTCATTTCATTCAGTACTTTTAATCTAACTGTGAGAACTTGGTCAAAAACTCACAAGATTTAGTTGAAGACTGGGCTAGGTGAAACGTAATAAAAGCTTGTAAAATTCATAATTTTTACTGGGAGAGCCTACCTACTAGTCCTAGGTACTACAGTCTATTATTCTAAATTGGTTTCTGCAAAAGTAGTGTTATTGTCACCTATCTTTTACAATACGAGTTATTGCACACTTCATATTTTATCTTATCACTAGTGGCCCGCCCTCGCTTCGCTTCCTTGTAGAGCTGTAGTTTAGATTATATTTTTGTTCTCAGGTTTCTATTAAACACAATGAACCCCCCGGCCAGTACTGCCCGAACCGGTATGTTCCTGCATTTTAAATCTGTAATATCTTCGAAAATATTCATTTAAATTACATGCTGTAGAGGGTTATATTGATCTATATTACACGCACAATGTATTTAAGGTACTTAATTGGATAAGGATTAATGCTGTATTGCTTAAAATCGCTTGTTCGTAAATAAGCCATTATTTTCTCGTAATAAGTAATTAAAAAATGGTTATTGTGGGTTATACCAAAGCGATAGGCATATACCATCGCGGACTTTTTTGTAGACCTTTTTAAGGTGTACAATACTGTAGTACATTATTTTGATCTATCTCGTTGGGTTCAGCCAGCGTTTGCAATGTAAGCGCAAAAAAATGTGTTTATTTACGACCTTATATTAAAAACCTCTAAAATTATCAGTGTTTCTCTACTATATTATGCATGTATTATACATATAAACCTTCCTCTTGAATCACTCTATCTATTAAAAAAAACCGCATCAAAATCCGTTGCGTAGTTCAAAGATTTAAGCATACAAAGGGACATAGGGACAGAGAAAGCGACTTTGTTTTATACTATGTCACGGTAATAAACCGTGACTATGTAGTGATAAGAAAAAAGAATTTGGATTATTTTATCACTTATATCAATAATTCAATTCAATTTATCATCCTTAATATTATAAGTAACTTCGATATCTGAGACCCCACACCACAAAATAGAAATAATAGAGAACAGAAGGTAATCTCATCTATGTAATTCACTTAGCATACCTACGCTTGGCGCGCCAGTCGCGCTAGGACTGTCAACTTTTGTTTATGCACAAAAAATTATCGTGGTAGTAACTAGATACGAGTGCATCTAGTTTTTTGATTTGCTGTCGAGAATTAAACAGAAAGAACGAAAATATAAATCAAAATAACTGAAATATTTCAACTTTAATGTAATTATTATATTGGTTGGATTTAAACAACCGTCTAATAAACAGATAAAATATATTTTTGTTGCTGCATTTTTGCACATAGAAGTTCGCAGACGCGTGTCTCAAGCAGATGGAACTCGCGCTCGCAATAGTTCCAAGGTCTGAGATATCGTGTCCATGAGCGGTGTCTATGTGTGCGTTGCTCGAGCGCGCATTGTATGAAGATTACTTTCTGTACTGTCTATTTTGTGCTCACATTTTATGCTACTAAAGAAAACATTACCTTATTATGTCACGGATAGATTGTAAAATTGCAGTTTTAAACAAGTGTAAACGCGTACACTGACGTCAGTTGCCCGACGAAATGACGACTGTCAATTAACGTTGTGTGAACACGACGATTGCTTACATTCGGTTCCAGTCCAAGTAAAGAACAAGTTGTTTAGCCACTGCATGAAGAAATCTGAGTTAAATTTTATACTGTGTTAAAATGAACAGCGGCACTAAGGATTATCCTTACGAAATAAAAAATTTGGACCCTGAGGAGCACGCGAAAGTGTTTAAACAGTTCAATGCAGGTAACAATCAATGCGTGGTCGTTCAACAACATAAACGTGGGGTAATGAGGGCTACCGTTTTCTGTCTCACCAGATGGCGCCACTGTTGAGTGAGGTCATGAATTGGAACTTTTAAAGTTTATTAATACGCGCGTGAAATCAAAGTTTACATTTAAAACATATTTTAATACAAAAGAACCGTATTCTAAACATAATCGGCCATGCCACAGTGAAGCGCAGTTCCGTTTTCTTCGGAAAAAAAGGAGGACATAATAATTTATCTTAGCTCCACTTTTAAATAACTGACATTCATTGCCACGTAACTCATATTTGCCATAATTAAGCCGAGTTATTACCAAATATTCACAATATTATTTTTTATTAGAAATAAACCCACGTAATCAACCCACAAGCAATAACATTTGACACATTGGAGACCTCACGCTACACTAGCGCCGCTAGCGGCGGATTCATACGCGATAGTCCTCATTGGAAAAAGTTAGAATGCATTCTTGTCATTGCTGTCGCTCTGTCGTCTTACTGTCCATATTTCACGGGTCTCTTGATAGTAAATGCACTGAGCAACGGACGGCTTTCTATGATCGACCAAAATTCCGATTCAGTTCTTAATATCAACTAATTAAGTCTTAAGAAAGACTAGAAAGATTTCGACACGGCCATCAGGGCTGCGGTAGCATAATGGTCAGTGCATTCGTCCGGATAGCGAAGGGTGCGGGTTCGAGTCCCGTCTTCTGCCTGGTTCGCGTGGATTTTTTGACGTGACAACGTCTTAAATTAGGTTGCGGCTGGGAGTCACTTATGAAAAAGTGTAACGCTCGGTAACGTTACGATGAGTCTCTCGTGTTAAGTTTAAGTTTACATGTACAATGTTTTAGTAAACAAAATATATTTCTATAGTTAAAATTTGTGCAATTCTTATTTTCATTCAATTCCTTGTTCCTATTGTGCAATTTAATTATATTCATATCAATAAATATTCTACCGAGAAAAAGACGTTGTCACGTAAAATCTTCGCCCGTAAAACCGACTTTACAGGCAACCATTTTTTTTCTAGTAATATTTTCTTTAAATTTAAACATCGAGTAACATGCTTCAAAAATAAAAATTATATGGTTCTGTTTTAATTTTGTACTATGACCTAAATGACCAAAACCTAAACTGAGTCGATCGCAAGTCGATCGGATACGGAATGAACGGAATGAATGATAGTCATAGATTAAGTACTAGTTGATAAAAGTCTGCTATTGAATCATAAATAAACATTTCTATGTATTTAATAGATTTTTTTCAAATATATTATGATCTGACCATGGATACAAGTCCCTACTTACCTAGACATTACAAGGACATTATATAATGACATTACAAGGACACATAAATATGTATTTCGTAATAAATATTACAAAACTCCAAAAAATTACATGAAACGATAAACCTAATATAAAATAAAAACGCAATACTCATAACTATTAGGGTGAGGCCAAACGAGCGTAATTTTGTGAGTGGTGAGTCGCAGAATTTCGGTCGCAGAAATTCTGCTGCATTCGGTTTCATACAAAAAGGCAGTTGGTGCCACACGACAACGCAAAATGAGTTGTCTGCCGACTCAATGCGCATAAGCTCGTCCGAATTTCGGTCGGGGTGAGGGTAGGGCAAGGAAGGGGAGTGGGGAAGCAACAGTTTGTTACAAGTTGCACAGTAGTCGACACGTTTCTCGCTCGCAAAAATGTTCGACACGGAAAAATTTATTATTGAAGTGGAACAACGGCCATGTTTATGGAATTTGTCAGAAAAGTCATACAGTGACAAGTTTTTGAAACGATCCTAACCGATATTTTTTGTTATCTCTTTTGCCGGAAATGACCAAAATGACAGAGAAGCAAAATTTTGAATTCCGCATGGAAGTTATGAAAGCATTAAATAAAGTCAAATATCAAATTCCAGAACAGCACACACAATCAAACTGGTCTCGTTTTTCATCACCCTTTTCCGATTCCTACAGCAGTAATCAATACTACCCGACACCAGTAAATAGAGGATACACAACACAGTCAAACGAATATAATGAAACAAATCAATCCAACCGGCACTCCATTGAAACAAATGAATATGATGAACAGCTGTAAAAGTTTTGAATTAATTAATGTTTAATTTTAAGAAAAATAAGTAATAATTAAATTAGGTACTTTAAAAACTTACTTGAGTGTTATTATTAATCTTTCCTCTGGACTGATGGCTAGTCTCATGTTTGTGTCTGATTTAATGATAAAAGGTTTTACGTGGTGTAATAATTCTTGAAAAACACGTAATGGCATATGATAGTACTTTTCAAACATATCTGGATTTGCACATAAACGTTCATATAAAGTATGGAACTGTCCACATATCAGCCTCTGACTATTCAGTGGGTTTACCCAGTTTCTTTTTCTGGCCTCATCTTCTGAATATGCTTCGTAAATACACAATATTTTTAATGGATCCATTGCACTCGACGACACGAACGCCCCGTACTAACGCTCAATAGTAACTGAATAAATTACGTTCGTATGGCAGCTCAACAGAAATTCAGTTGAACGTAAAATAAGTGACCGAAAATGAGCGACTCACAACTCACAAAATTACGCTCGTTTATTCACCCTTACTGACTGATTTACTTACTTATTATAGTAGGTACTCAACAATTTTATACCTACAATTATTTTTCAACAGTATTTTCTATTTATAATTTTTATTTTTTTTAAAGCATGTAACTGCTTGAGCGAAGCGTGAGGGCCGCGGTAGCATAATTGGTCAGTGCATTCGCCCGGATTGCGAAGGGTGCGGGTTCGAGTCCCGTCTGCTGCCTGGTCCGCGTGGAATTTTTTCTAGTTATATTTTCTTTAGTATTTTCTATATTACTTAGGTAAATAAAGTAACCCGAACGTGATGGCGGTATTGAGCATACAAGTCTATCTCGCTTATGTATAGTCGAGGTGTTTACTTTGAATATACCTTTGAATTGTACCGTCTTTATAGACATATTTTATAAACTCTTCAAGATATATAGTATAGAATAAAAAAGATATGAGACTAGTCATAGCCTTCTTCACCTTTATCAACGAAGAAAAAACTACAAATCACAGAACTGTATCGCTTGATCTTTGCCTTCTCAAAAGAGCAAGATAAATAAAAAAGCGGTAATCTGTCAACCTAGTGTGAGCGCATACAGAAGTGAGCGAGTGGGTGAACTGCCCAAGCAAAAAAAAAAATACACGGCAATTCTCAGAGCGGCAGTGCAATGTGCTGATTTATGATTTTGAATTTTTTTCCTAGTTAAGTAGGTACTTCTTTACCTTGGCAAAAACAATTATTGAGTAATGGGCTCTATTAAATAAAATAAAAAAATACAAAGTGACATTGTATCATCACGGTGACCTGTCCTGAATCCAATCCCTCTCGTAAAATATCTTCCCCTGTAGTCATCATCATCAGCCTATTAATGTCCCCACTGTTGGGGCACAGGCCTTCCCTATGGATGGAATAGGGAGATTGGGCCATGACCCACCACGCGGGCCCAGTGCGGATTGGTGGGTGCTAACGACTGCAGATACAGCCGGGACCAACGGCTTAACGTGCCTTCCGAAGCACGGAGGAGCTCGAGATAGTAAATTTTTGGTCTCCCATCCAATGACCGACCACTGCAAAAGTTGCTTAACTTCAACGATCGCAGCCGAAAGCGCTAACCACTTGCGCCATCGAGCTCCCCTGTAGTACACATATATTATTATTTGGATTGATATTAACTTTTATATCAATAATATATAATACGGCTTATCAACAAAAACTACTATTGTTTATTTACCTTCTTTCTTATACATGTAACAAGCACTCAACTTTTGTCCTGGAAAAAGTTATCATTTTCATGGACAGCACGTTTTAGTGAAATAGGTTCGTCAACATTGCGTTGTTACGTCCCGTTTGTCATTGCGCACTTCGAGTTAGTCCGCCTTAGCTGGTCGGAGCACACGCACGCGCACCAATGTCACGGTAATATTATCTATACAGTATTGTGACTCGGCCCTGTCACGGTAATATTATCTATACAGTATTGTGACTCCGCCCTGTCCTTGAAATAAATGCCTACGGCCGAGCGCTGCGTTAGCACGCGGTAGGGCCGCCCGCCTACAGTATTTTATGTAGTTTTGTTTTTAACGCGAGTGTAGGTAGATTACTCGTTTATCTCTTTTTTCATCCTAACCACTTATTTATATATTATTCCAGATATTTTGCCCGATGGAAAAATCGAAATACCTAAATATTAGAAACAAATTACGTACTAGTAGATAGGTATATAAAAAATATTCTATAAAGGTAAGACACCTTTCCAATATTTCAGGTAATTTAAAAAATGATATCTTTGGGTGTGTTATTGAAGAGTTCTAGCAACCAAAAACAGCAATTGTGCTGTTGTACGATATTGATCGTCGTTTGTTCTTTTCCATACTAAATTATGTAGGTATCTACTTAATTCAATCAAATATTTACAATACAAACCGCAAGTTTAAGCACGGCTAACTGCATAAAAAACAATTCACACCGTTCGGTCGTCGTTGCGGCGTGGCGGCGCATTCGCGACTGGGTGCCCGCCGAGAGTGCCTCGAACTCGAGTGGTGTAGGTATGACTCGCTTTCCGACCGTTTGTATGAAGATAGAATACTGTATGATATTATTACCGTGGCCCTGTCCTTGAAATAACTGCCTAAGGCCGAGCGGGATGTATCCCCGCGGTAGGGCAGCCCGCCTACAGTATTTTATTTTATCTACATAATTGAGTTTCTTTCTAGTTTTGTGATTGTAAATATTTTATATCATATGTAAAAAAAATGTTGTGAATGAATTAGGAAGTGTTACATAAAATACATGTTATTTTAAGTGTAATATTTAATAAAAAAATATGTAGATTTGAGACAGAAAAATATTTACGCCTCGACTGAGACGTATGAAAAGCGTTATTATTAAATTTAATAGTATAATAAATACGCATTCGTATAAAAAGTTTAATTATTGAAGAGTTCAAGCAACCAAAACCAGCACAATATCGACTATTGCTCTTTGCCATATTAAATTATGTAAGTATTTACTTAATTCAATCAAATATTGTGAATATTTATACAAACGTTTAAGCACGGCTAACTGCTTAAAAAACAATTCACACCGTTCGGTCGTCGCTGCGGCGCATTCGCGACTGGTTGCCCACCGGGTGCCGCGCGAACTCGGGTGGCGTAGGTATGACACGCTTTCCGACCGTTTGTATGAAGATAGAATACTGTATAGATAACATTACTGTGCCAATGTCATTGTGGATTCCCGCCAAATAGTAAGTACCTATATCATTTCAGTGATATGGGGACAAAAATAGTTTATCATTTCAGTGGATTCGGTGGGCTTTAATGCCGATAAGAGTCCACGGGAATGAAAAGAATCTCCGAAATGATAAATCCTTAAGTTTTTAGAGATTCTTGAGTAAATATAGTTAAATTATTTCGGTTTTTGATGTACATTTACCTAGATACTGTAGGTTCGATATTTCGGGTGCAGTAACATTTCTATCTAAAATATCTAGTTTAAAAATGTATATTAAAGTTAAAGCGGACGAAGTCGTTGGCGGAAGCTAGTATTTCTGTACTAAAAAGGGTAAAAAAATCAGTAGAGTGTTGGAAATATTTATTTTATTTATTTTATCGCCAATAATGCGGATCGCGAGCCGCTGTAACCTATCCTTGAAAGATACTTGGCGGAGCCATCCTCTAGGGTGTGAATATTCACACAAGACCGTACTTGCGTCTTGTACAACAAACACAGTTGTTCAGGCGTGAAAAAACACCGCACTTTGTTCAGTACTCCTAGTTTGCGTGAGGCTGCTTTTACCACGCTTTCGATGTAGTATTGCTGTCTAGCGCCAATGTTGTGCCCTGAAGAGAGGGAAGGAATGGTGACGTTTTACCGTGAAAGCGCAGGTCTGCGCTTTCACTATACTGAGGTGACAGCTATTGGCTGATAGTTGGTCGGGTAAATTCACGTGACTAAGTTATTTGGCATTTTTGGAGATTATTTTTAATCGTCGTCTTTCTTAGCAGTTGTTATTTTGAACCAAATACGCAGAATAGTTCACCCAGTAATGTTTATTAGTGATTAATTAAACATAAGAATAACAGTGTTGCCCAGCGCGCGATTCAACAATGAATGAATAAAAGTAAGCAACTCGCTAGCTAGCGCGCGAACTATGTACGGAAAAGACTTAAAAATGGATAGCTGGTTTTAGCTGAAGAATAAATTTTAAACTAAAACGATGACTAACGCTAATTATTAACAGTGGAAGAAAAGAGCAAACACCGATAATCGATTTTAGCTGAAGTAATTTATAAAGAGTCGAATAAAAGTTATTCAGTAAAAATAAATTAAAATTCGGTATCTTCTTTTACTTGCCTACAATATAACGCAAATACATTTTTGTTTGCAAAAAGAGACTTAGATATGTTTGTTTTTACTACATCTAGTAAAATTAAAAATATCTGGTAAAAATTAAACACCTACCCACCCACCCACCTAGTAAATTACCGTTTTTCATGAAATAAGTAAACGCATTTTCTTATAATTTTTTTTATGAATCAGAGTAAATCATGCAATCAATTTATTTTTGCAAACGTAGTAGTAACGTTTTTAAAGTGAAACTTCTATAAAGGGTACTGTCTTTACTGTCACGAAAAAATGTTACTTAATAAAAAATCAATCAATCATCTGCGAGAAGGGATAGCGTCCACCTCCAGGGAAATAGCAACCTTCGACACATTAACAAATTTGAAGTAGAGGGCTATTAGAACTCAAATCCAAATTTTGATGTAAATTGGCGCTGTTTAGCAGAATTGCCAGGTTTTCCCGTTTTTTTCCGTGCATTGACTGGCCTATTACTTATTTAGATGGAGGTGTCCTTGAAGACTTCATACGGGTCGGTCCGAAGGGTTACTGGTTTCCATGTGGGTTTGCGGAGTTGGCCCCCAAAATCTACAATATGGAAGTCAGACCTGATGACGTTTGGGTGATAACATTTCCAAAATCAGGTGAGGAGACACTTTTTAAGTTTCTGTAGAATAAGTTCTAAGTGAAAAAAGTAGGGATAATATGTACTATCCTATTAACTTACAACTCGAGGTAAACGGGCTATGTCGATGACTGTTACTAAATGACGTCACAGGCAGTGTTGCCAACCATACGAGATTTCTCGTACAAATACGAATCGCGTACTAGGTTTGAAAGTCAGAATACGAGATTTTTAGCTGTATAACTACTGGTACCGTCTACCAATAGGGTCGACTAATAGGGTCTGTCTAGAAGCGCGGTACGGTGAGGCGAGGAGGGTGGGAGCGGCTAACTCGAAGCGAACGTGCTTATTCGCTATGTGCGAAGTACATGGTGGGGGTATAGTGAAGCGATCGCAGCGCTTATCGTGGCAGAAATACGCAACAATCCGGGAAAGTAAAGTCAATTTGCACGGAGTTCGTAATAAACAAAAATTTTTTAAAATGCCTATTAATAGATGTTGTTGTGTTGTGAATTGCAAAAATAAGGGCACAAATAGTCTGTGTATATATTTCCTACATTGGACTGGAAATTAAATCAAAGAAATAAATGGATAGATGCCATAAAAAGAAATAAGTAAGCGAAATAACCTTAAATTATGATCAATTTTATTTGCGCTATATATTTTATGTGATATTCATTATTGTCTTTATTATTTTAGTGTTGATGGGTCGCCATGGTATCCCAAACCTGACGACACAATTTGTAGTGAACATTTTATGGGAAACAAAAAATCAGACGAGGAAGAAAATCCGAGTTATGCTCCTACGATATTCCCTGAAATATATCGAAAGAGGAAGGTTAATGATTCACAGGTCCTAGCTAGATATACACGCTTGACAAAACGAAGAACCACAAAATTCTCAGATACCACATCAAGTCAAATAATAATTGAAGAAGGGAGTGAATTAAATCAAACTCAACCTTTTATGATCGATCAAGGATGTCAAGTCAATATGTTTTCTGAATCGAAATTAAGAGATACATCTTTTATTTGTATTAGATTAATTTACAGTGATCACTGTGATCCAACATCAAGAATTTTAATGACAAATAATTCAAGAAAGAAAGATAAAAGCTGTGGCACTGACAAAAAATCGTATGAGGATCAATCTACCGAAACAAAAAGTCAAGAATTTGTTGGTATTTCATCAATAACAAATGATCAAGAACTCCTAGATCCTTCTGGTGTGTCATTTAGCAATTTTGAGTTTTTATTAACAAGATTAACTATGAGAAAATGTACAGTTTCCACTAAAGACCGACTTCTGATTTTTTTGATAAAAATGAAAACTGGCTTGACATTTTCAGCATTGAGTGTGTTATTTGGTGTACAAAAAAACCACAATCTCACGTATATTTCATTCGATCTTACAAAATCTAGCTTGTTCAACTGCTAATTTAATCTTTTGGCCGAATAGAGCCACCGTACAAGCACCAATGCCCAAGTGTTTCAGTCCAGATTACATCAATACAAGAGTTATTATTGACTGTACTGAATTCCGAATTGAAATCCGACATTATTTAAATTATTATACAATATATAATAATTTTTATTTATCTTTACCTTACTATATTTACTAGAAATCAATAAAATACAAACTGATGTCATTATTTGGCATAATCCTGGAAAGTTGCGCATTGTAGGTGGCGCTACTGTCGTGCACATAGCGAATAGTACAAAGACTGAAACTACGCATTCTGTACACCTAACAAAGTAATATTTCAAAATATTATACGTGGGAATAATTTTTATTCTTAATTTAAAAAATATACATTTTTTTTGCCAAAGTATAGCGCGGCGCGCTACTGTGGCGCTACGCAAATAATGTGCCTATGTGTATGTGTGTAAGTGCATCGATTTTCTAGATTTCGAGTTTCTAAATAATGTTTTGAAAATATTAATGTATAAATCCTGAAATAAAAATTGTGACTTTTATTTTTATAAAGGCGAATATTTTGTTAAAAATTTAATGATATTATTTTTCACGGGGGGTCCTATATACGAAAAGGAGACGAAATTTCCAATCATTGGTGCACTAACTTATAAAAAAATAATGGAATTTTGATTCTAATAGCTGCAGATTAGCATTTCACACAATTGGTGTTGTGGTCTTCCCTATCCACTAATCCACTAATAATATTTCTGTATACCTTCCTCACAGGAACAACTTGGACACAGGAGTTAGTGTGGCAAGTGGCAAATGATTTCAACTACGCTAAAGCTAAGGATATTCCACTCTGGAATAGATTCCCGTTTATAGAGTAAGCTAATATTTTCTTTCATTGATTAATCTACCATTGCATAAGAAATATAGAGCTAAGAACCTTTAGTAATAGGGAATACAAAATTTTTGTAGATTCGCTTTGTTTTTCAACGAAGAGAAAGCCCAAAAAGAGTTTGGATGTGATGAGGAAAACAAGGCTATGTTGGACGCAGCAAACAAGAAGTTCGATCAAGTGTCGACAATGCAGTCGCCGCGGTTCATCAAGTCGCACCTGCCGCTGTCGCTGCTGCCGCCCGCGCTGCTGGACTCCTGCCGCGTGGTGCACGTGGCGCGCGACCCCAGGGACGTGGCCGTCTCCTACTACCACCACTACCATTTCTTCCGATTCTATGGCTATTCGGGCAACTTTAAGCAATTCTGGAATTTATTCATTGAAAATAGAAGTGAGTACTCTAAGGGGGCTTCGCGTATACTCGCGCGACTGCAACGATGCAAGACGAACTCTTAACAAAAGAGACACTGTAGCGTGGTTTTGTCACGAAGTAGGCGCTAGCGTCTGTGCGCCTCGGACGCAGGCGCGCGTTATAATTTGGGTGGCTAGCGAGTTTCATTCAGAGCAACTTCTGTTCTATTCGAATTCTGGGATATAGAAATTAGTAAAGATTTGCACCCTAGAATTAGTTATTCAAATAAAAATACAGGCCTTTATGGCTTCTGCCGCCCCCAGCAGCTCTTGCAGTCATCACTAGACCTGCAGACTTTTCTATGTTTAATCCCTTCGGCGTGATGGCATCTGATCGGCTTTCACCACGTTAGTTACCACGTAAGTCGTCGCTTATTTTGCATATTTACTCCCGAAGATCACCATATTCTTCTTTACTCGTTTTCATCACGGCGGAAAAAAAGGTACCGAGTAACTGCGGGTTACTTTGACCTAAAATGTGCACTTTTTTTCAAATAAAATTGTAGCTTCTCTTTGTGATGAATATGTCACGTTTATATCTTGCCATTGTGAACTTTAAAGTATAAGTTACAAAGTTATCATACGAAAATAGGAAAAAAAAATTAAGGGTTAATAGATATTTTTTTAATTTTGGGACAAAGTTGGCCTTAAACAGGGTTACTTTAGCTCGTTGAGTTTTCTCTGTGAAAAAAACTCATTTTAACCCTTATACACAAAGGGATGTTTTTGCCCAAAAATAATTAAGTTAAATAAAAAATATAACTTTAAATTTAGAAAAAATAGTAAACTTACCGAAAACCACAGGTTTGAGAAAGTTAGCGCATGAACTTTCGAACTATTTCAGTTACAAAAAAATCCGCGTTACAATGACAACTTGATACAGGAACGATGTTGGTAAAAAACAACACCACACTGCGCGCCTATAAGGCTATCTGTGATTTTCAACTGGAACTATCACGGTCACCCAAAAGATACTGATGGGGCGGCAAGTTCAATATTTTTCCTGATTTGGGATAAAGTTACCCGCCCGAGCTAAAGTAACCCTCACTTACATTAAAAAGAAAATTTTACTAGAAAAAAATCCACGCGGACCAGGCAGCAGACGGAACTCGAACCCACACCCTCCGCTATCCGGGTTAATGCACTGACCATTATGCTACCGCGGCCCTGACGGCCGTGTCGAATTTTCTCTAGCACTTCTTAAGCTGCAAGGCAGCGCCATCTCTTCGCATTGTAGGTAACTCACAATATCAAATGAATATAAAAAATATAAAGGTAATATATTTAAAAACTTATAGTAGTTAACCATTAAATCCGTCTAGTTCAGGTAAGTTAGGATTGTCCTTTTTGAAAAATAGTCATCCATGTCTAATATAGAATATAAGTACGACCTACATATATATAACATTGTAACGCTGATTCACATACAAAACTGAACTATCCGACAGCAAAACAATGAATAATTGTACCGACTGTACCGACAGTGAAAACGGTGTGTGGTAAGATGACGTCACACAATTATGACGCGCTGGTGCGAAATATTTTTAAAAGACGAAAACCTAAATAGTCATTACTTCAACACTACTCCCCTGATTTAAATGAAACAAAAACGGGTATATTTATTAACATTGGGACTATAAGGTCATAAAATTTCAAGCAATATAACTGACCTACTGATATTCTGTAGTCCCCATTGTTCTCAATGCTTCCAAAAGGGCCGACAAATATAGCGGAAAATTCGCTACGCCCCACCTCATAGAGTTCTTACTACCTACTTAACTTTGCTTCTTGGCATAAGCAAAAAGTGATAATGGTAGTATTTAAAGTCTATTAACTAATTCCCATCGAATGATTACTTAAAACGATCATTTGGTCATTCAAATGATCGTTAATTATATTGCATGTTCCAATAACGCTGTCATACTTAAATTACCTAATGAATTTCAGTTGACTGGACTCCATATTTCGAGAACGTGAAAGAATCGTGGCGCATGAGGAACCACCCTAATATGCTATTCCTGTTTTACGAAGATGCCTTGAGGGTGAGAATGTGTGATTGACTTATAAATGGTCTGTTGAGAATTACCTATCGCTCGTATGTTTTAATTTACACTTCATCCTACACAAAATAGAGTTGTGTACTGAGTACACAAAAACTTGATTTAGGTAATCATTTGCTTTATAGATTGTACTAACTTATAAATTCTTTGTGCATTGGATTTTGTTGGAACTATACTAAATTATTATACTACTTTGAGGTTTATTAAACTCACTGTTGTCATAAATTCTGAACTTTTAAAAAAGCAGGGTCTATTTGGGTAAATTTCCAAAGCACGTTTTTGACACGGCTTATATTAAAGCTTCGTGCTAAACTCAGGCAAAAAAACGCATGCGAATAGCATGTGAAACGCCACCATAACAAAGAAGATGAAAACTAATAATTTTTAAAGATCTGGGAAATATCCAGTTATGCCTAGCAACAATATTTTTATTGATTCTATAGCTTTATGGGTTTCTTCTACGAGTCTATGCACCTACTTCATCGTGCCATGATATATTCTAAAGCCAAATTGTTAGTACTTATGACTTTAAATTCTGCTATTAAAAACTATTTCTATAAGCTTCGATAGCAATAAACAGAGTTGTTCTACAGCATCTTCAAGAGCTTTTCCGGTTTGAGGACTGTGTTTATACTACGTAAAAATATTTTTTATAACTTTAATAATTTGAGCGCCACTCTCACAACTAAGAAGAATCTAACTACACCTCTCAAGCCAAAATCAATAAAACCATTTAAGCCACAGAGCGTGCCAAAGAAATATAAATACCCTTTAAAAACTTAACTGTCCTTTCGACGTAGTCAGGTAAAAAGGGCCCTGCAGATATCTGTCGCCCGGTGCCCCGCAATTTCTAAGGCGGCCTGTAGATATGCAAGCGTTAATAATTAAAGTTCATTATAACAAAATAATTTATATGTTCGTAATATTTTACAGTTATTTACAGATTTTACATACAAATTGAAACAGGTTTACTTACTATTAAAACGTCCTATTATATTATGTTAATAGAACGACAAATCGATTTTCCGTTAGTTTTAAGTTAAAGAACACTACATTGCTGTATTTAGAATCAGAATAATAAATAACAAAAAATCATTTTTTTTCAATAAAGTACTTTTAATAAAAACTGAAAAGAACAAAGCAATTTTAACAGTCTGGGCCCATAAGATATACTAGAATGGATCAAATTTTACCAATACTTAATGGGTCCCGACTGTTAAGGTAGCTTTGGCATATTATTATAGTTAAAAGGGCATTAAATAAAAGAAGTACTACCTAATACTCAATTTGATTATCACTGGATATCCATGGATTTTGACTGTCCATGTCCATGTATGTCCATTAATGGATGACTGTCCATTATAAGGATATAGTAGTTATTTCAGTTGAAAATCTTTTGTTTTGTTACGTCTATCTATCTACGCCTTTAAGTGCTAAGCGGCACTATTTTGCATACTTACTTTAAAGTACCAACATAATTTCTCTAATGGATTCTTGCCAACTATCATCTTATCCATTTATACTTAAGGAAAAACTGATATTAAAATTTGCCCCCCGAATTAGGCCAAAAGTGAACTTGTTAAAATTTACCCATTTGCCTATATTAATAACTTCCTTCATATATAAGGACCTGCCATCAACGGTAAAGAGAGTGGCTGCATTCCTCGGGAAGGCAGTGACGGAGGAGCAGGTCAGCCGGCTCTGCGAACATCTCGCCTTCGCCAACTTTAAGAAAAATTTATCTGTCAACTATGACATTCTCAAAGACACACGTTTTGTTAGAAATGAAGGCTCTTTTATGAGAAAAGGTAATTTTTTTACGATACGTACATTTAAGCAAAAATCTACCTTATTGTTTTGAAATGATTCTAACAAAAGAAGCTTAAAGGTTCAGAAATGAAATTGGCTGATAGTGCCAAGAACGTGAAATCACCTACATTAAATCCTAAAATATTTAACTTTGATCAGTATACATGTCACCATATAATAAAATTATGCATTTTAATCCACTTTACTAAGTTTCATTAATATAAGTTGCGAAACAATGAAAATATTTATTTTTCTACTGAAAACTCCTGTAAAATTCACTTTTTGCAGTTATCCTTAATATGTACTTAGGGACTGTCGATATATTGTACAACTCTTTGTTATCCCTAAAAAAATAACAACAACTATAAATCTATCTCTCTATTCGAATCACACATTTAAACATCGATTAAAGCAATATCTTCTTGATGCGCAGCGGGAAATGGGCATATATCGCGGTGATTCCTCATTTATATAGATATATATGTGTGTGTGTGTGTATAAATATACATATATTTTTTCTGTGACTTTACGTATTGTGTTGTTTGTTGCTGTATAAATGTATTTATATTTTTTTTTGTTCCTAGTGCGTGTCTGTGAATATAAAATGGATATACACGTATCTAATTTATGTATGATAATATTGAATGTGATATAAATGATAAATTGTATTAATTATTTATGATTCTGAATAATTTTACGAGTGTGTGTTTCTGTTTTTTTTTATTCTTATATTTCTTTTTTTCCGATAATCAGTTGTCAAGAGAACCATAGGTGTCAACTGAAAATCAGCGTCAGGTCCCACAAACCTGACAACATGCTGAATTGACAACCTGTTTTGGCGCAGCCGCGAGATAGTAACAGAATAAATCACCGTTGCAACAGTTATTATTAGTGTGTGTTACTTTTGACGTGACAACGTCTTAAATTAGGTTGCGGCTGGGAGTCACTTATGAAAAAGTGTAACGCTCGGTAACGTTACGATGAGTCTCTCGTGTTAAGTTTAAGTTTACATGTACAATGTTTTAGTAAACAAAATATATTTCTATAGTTAAAATTTGTGCAATTCTTATTTTCATTCAATTCCTTGTTCCTATTGTGCAATTTAATTATATTCATATCAATAAATATTCTACCGAGAAAAAGACGTTTTCACGTAAAATCTTCGCCCGTAAAACCGACTTTACAGGCAACCATTTTTTTTGCGTTGTTTGTTTACGATAATTTTGCTTTATCTTGTATTTTTTTGTTCTCAAAATCTTGTATTACTGTCTCGTTGTTTGTGTCAAAATAAATATATTTTCTTTCTTTCTTTCTATCGTACCTACGAGGACAGCATAATATTCTTATATTTACAATCTCTGGTTTTGGTTAGTTGCCCCAGTCGATGTCGTCCTTATTGACTAAGACATGACCTCAGTAATCATAATTTTATAAATATATTAAAATGTTCCAGGCAAGGCTGGCGGGTGGCGCGAGTACTTCGACGAGGAGATGCTGCAGCAGGCGCAGCGGTGGATGGAGCACAACCTGCGGGACACGGACCTTACATTCCCTTCAGTAGTATAAACACGCTATATTGTTCATCTGTGTAGCAACATGTCAGCTTAAATTGATATTCGTTATATTCAGTTATAAAGTATTATGTTGCGAAACGTGAAGAAAAAAAGCTAACATTTTCTTTGGTATTTTGCATAATTAATTTTTTTATGTAGAACAGTTTAGAAAACCAATTTATTTTATATAAAATTTTATTAAAATAAATTAACTTAATAAAAAAAAATATACACACTACCTTGAGATTTAAGACATAACTTTATATGTCTTATGCATACAATGAATCTTTGAGAGAATAATGGATGTCTAATATGATACAACTTCTTGCTTTTTTTAAACAATATTTGTTTTCATAAATCAACAGGTACACACATCAAAAGTGTCTAGGGATCAACATATATTTTTGCAATAACTTTTCTCCTGATTGATATTAATTAAAATTTTCTTTAAGGATTCATCAAATAAAGTGTTTTCGTTTGTCACAGTAACGATAAACCAAGTCACCTTTGCATTAATAAAGAAATTTGCCATTTTCCTAATAAAGGGATTTTTGACATTTGAACCACTAACACAAAAGTTCGAAAAAAAGACTGAAATAACAGTTTTCTCTAAAATTTTATTGGGTAACTTAAACAATTAATAATCCGTATTTCTACCGCGAACACTAACAACACAAGAACATCGGTTTGGCATACTCAAAATGAGTTCATCCAAATCACGCTGTGGAATGGCCGCCCATGTTCGTTGCAACAACAAAAAAAGGTCTTCTTGCGACTGGATACCCTCCATATTCGGCAGAGCTCTTCTCTGTAGCATATCCCATGCATGCTCAATCGGGTTCAAGTCTGGCGACTGAGCAGGCCAGGGCAGGACATTGATGTTAGCTGCGGCGAGAGTCTGTCTTACAACTCTTGCGGTGTGCGGTCGTGCATTATCATGCATTAACTGAAATAAGGGACCGATTTGCACTTGTAGAGGAACGATGACGTCTGATACAATCGTCTCAGCATAAATTTGAGCGTTGAGGTTGCCTCTGATCCAAATCAACTCAGTTCTTCCGCCGATCCAAATACCCGCCCATACCATGATGGTTCCACCACTATAAGGATGGACTTCCTGGCAGGATTTTAATCGCTGTTGGCGTCCAGGGGTTCTCCAGTGTCGTATACGTCTTGTATCCGGTCTCATACCAAAACGAGACTCATCAGAAAAGCACACGAAACGCCATTGTTCTTCTGCCCAATTTCTGTGTTCAAGAGCCCATTGATATCGAATCCTACGATTGTGCATTGCTATAGGTGGTACCCGTAGCGGTCTTCGGGAATGAAGGTTCACTTCATGCAAGCGGTTTCTGACTGTTTGGTCGCTAATTAAGTTCCCTGAAGAGTGATGAAGCCTCACGGCTAACATCATGGCGGTTATTGTTGGAGCTCTTCGAGTTAAGATTTGAATGTATCGGTCTTGTCTCCGTGTGGTGCAGCGATACCGTCCTCCATGGCGCTCAGCCACGGTACCAGTGCTTCGGCATCGTGTCCAAAGTCGACTGATAACACTCTGACTTGTATTCAGAGCTAAAGCCACAGTACGTTGCCGGGAACCAGCTTCTATCATTCCCACGGCTCTGAGCATTTCTTCCCTGCTTAAATGACGTCGCCGCTCCATAATAACGTTGGTTTTAATCAGTAGTAGGGAAACAGTAGCACTAATAATGTCTTCAATGCGTTGTATGTTTTTATAGGGAAAATATTGACAGCTGATTTTCATCTTTTACTCGAATTTGATTCACAGTTCCTGATTCAAATTATGAAATGCACCAAAAAGGATCCATATAAATTTATAAAATCATAAATTTATTACAAAGCCACATCTCAATCTCAAGAAATCCGCATAAAAATGCTTGATCCCTAGACACTTTTGATGTGTGTATTTTTTTAGTGTTGTGCATGGTTTATTCAGGTTTATTAGGTTAATTGGCTTGCAATGTATTGTTATTATAATGTTTTTATTTCTATTGTTTAATAAAATTGCCAATTGATTGTTACCTGTGCCTATACCAATAAATTAACAAAAAAGTCGATATCGACCAATAATAAATCTATGGTGTTATAGCCTCTCCTCAGGTAGGTTGGAAAGACGACGAAAAATTAAAAGAAATTAAAGCAAACTTTGATAAATAACCCTTTAAATATTTTTACCAACTGTGCCTAATTAACTTATGCAAGAACAAGAAACACAATGGAGTTGGATTCACGGATTTATAGGACAACAACAAATTATCTAAAGAAAATTTTAGTAGAGATAATTTCACGCGGACCAGGCAGCGGACAGGATACGAACCCGCAACCTTCGCTATCCGGGCAAATGACTAACCATTATAGTACGTGGATTTATTTCTAGTGAAATTTTCTTTACATATCTAGTAGTTACATGCTTAAAAAATTAAAAAAATACAAATACATATAACAAAAATTTGCATATTATTTATCTTGTTTTTATTGTTTTGTGTATAACGTTTACTTCATATATATATATATATATTTAATGTGTATATTTTTTTTCTTTTATTTAAAAATGACGGACGCTAAACCAATCCTTTCAATGCAAATACCTGCTTCTTTTGTTAGTGTAGAATTGTAGATACATTATTACGATTTATTGAAACTAATAACGGAACCGCGATGACCTAAGCTCATGGTTAGCCAATTGCGATTGCCTTAGCTGACAAGTCAAATAACAATTTTATTTGGTTTTGTACAAAATCAATTGACTGATCGCGCACAAGCAACGTGCAGCTATACGATATTTTCTAGATGATGCGATTTAAAGGAATTTTTAAAATCCAGATTCGGTAACAGGAAACATGAAATTCATATGTTAATGGAATTACAAAGTTTTAAATAAACGCAAAACGAAAATGTTACTCACTACATTTATAGATTATATACTTGTTTAAAAAGATTATTAAGTTCTGTTAAACAATCTTGTACTGAAACAATATCATTACCGAATCAAATAGCTAGTATAAATCAACTAGCACTTCAAACATTTATATTTGGAACACAGACCAATAAGAGAACAAGTTATTTGGAATGAACTCTCAAATATGTTTCGTGTCTAAGAGCCTCAAACATTAAATGTTTTTTTTTTCTATTTTGGTTTTACGGCACTGGGATCTAGCCCTTTTCTGCCGGGCCAGTAAGAAACATTAATGATGCTTTAAGTATTGCTTTTGAAGAATTTTTTTAACCTAGTACAAAATTCTAAAAATATTTTTTGCAGTAATTGCAATAGGTCAGGGCCACAGACCAATAAGAGAACAAGTTGTCAGGGCACACAAATTACCAGTGTACACGTAAAAAATGCGCCTCATATTTTTTCTCAGAGACATAATCAATCCAATTTCAACAAACGAATTTTCCATATTAATACAAAAAGCAATAAACCTCTTTTCTGTCACTACTGTAAAAAGAATGGACATCTAATTGAGAATGGTTTTAATTAGCAATATGAACAATACATCGAAAAAATACAACTAAACTAGAATCATTTACAAGCATTGATTTTTACCTCTTCGAGCATCTACAATTCCTACTGCTGTCTATTATTCCACATTGATTTCCGTAACTCTAGTGTTATTGCGACATTTGCGACCAAAACTTACATTATCATTAGCTTACATAGTTATGCCGACTCTAAAAGCTAGAAACATTTCGAGCTTCTTGGAAGCTGACGGGCTAAAAGACTGATAGACTGAGATACTTCAACTCGGTGGCGAGACACAATAGATCTTATAGGTCGCAGTGACGACAGTCCCTTAGGACTGCATATCCCCAAAAATAAAAAAAGGTAAATTTAAAAAATCAAAAAACCCGACTGCTTAATTATTCTTCAAATAAAAACTGAAAAGAAAAAAACAAGTCCAGTAGTCTATAATTCTGTTAATAAGGAACAAAGCTACTTTAACAGTCGGGACCCACTGTTGAAAAATATTATGTATTCTTGAATATCTAATCTATTCTAATACTATAAAGAGGCAAGATTTGTATGTTTGTAACAAATAATCTGTCAAACTACTGAACCGGTTTCAAATATTAATTCATCATAAGGTAGCTACATTATTCATTATTACATTTTTCTTTATTTAAATACATTTTGTCCGAGTGACATACATATATTTTATCCCGATAAAATAAATTTCGCCCGCTTCCTTGCCCTAATAGCTAAATCGAATTTAATGAATTCCCATATAGAAGTAGATGGGAACTTGGTTCTTAGCTACAACATCGCAATACTTATAGGCGTAGGGTGATGAAAGGGGTGATTTACCTATAAAAATCTACATTATTTACTTTGAATTTTGCAGAATTATTACAAAACCAATATTATCGCGAGTTGATTAATAAATACAGCGATTCCAATAAGTATGTACTTACTAGCGAAAAATGGGTTATTTGTCATTAAATTAAGTAAACCTTTTTTGTAACCTTAATATCGTTAAAAAAAATTAAAACAGTAAAATTCTGAGTTTTTCATTAAAATTCAATAATTATAAATATCTATTATGATAGTATATTTTTCATCATTTAATAAGAAGGAACTGTATCACAGTTTTAATGTTAGTACTTCGTATAGGATCAGAAGCTGCGAATACCCCATTTTTTGCTTTTACATAGTACACCGCGCTATCACTTTGTCATCGTTGTAACTTTTTAAATATTTGTCGAAATGACATAGTGTAAAAAGTAAAGTTTATCGTCTTTAAATATCAAAAGCGATTAAAGTGTTTGTTTTGATAAAAAATGATTTGTTAATACAAAATGTGCATTTTGGAAATAGATATCAATTAATATTTTAGTTTTGATTCACTATTTTAGCGGTAATGACTTACACATTAAAAATAGATATATGGTGTCACGGACTTTTTTTTTGAAATATTTAAGAGATTCATTTTCACTCTACATTACATTCATGTAACTTTTATTGTTTTTGCAGTGCAGGCCAAAATGGCTCGCAGATGGGAGATTTTTTTCCGTCTTATGTGACACTTATTGTTATATATTGGCCAATTCACTCAATAACCACATAAATTATTATATATATGTAATTATCATATATGAGCTACATTACTGTTAAGTTTCATTAAAATCCATTCAGTATTTTTTAGGTGAAAGAGTAACAAAGATCCATACAAACGTAAAATTGAAATTAAAAGCGTAAGTGGTTAATATACAACTTTAAAACGTTGTAGATCCTAAACAATCATATTAAATAAAAAATGGTTTAATATGATTTTTGATTATCTAGACAGTGATACCCCACTCGACATATTTTGTCAACTTATTTTTTTTTACTTCGTCACAATATGGCGCCCAATTTTGCCCATATTGAATTTTGATTACTATCATATCTTTAGTAGCACTCCCATGATTGAGACGAATCGATTGATGTATGAATCATCAAAATCGGTCCAGGCGTTTGGTCTCTAGTGTGCCACAAAGGAACAAACATACATATATAGACTGTTAAACACATCGATCACACACAAACACACGCGCGTCGCGCTTCGCGCTCTTGCATTGCGCAGCCGGGTAAAAATAATAATATGCCGACTTACACAAATCTATACATGCATATTAGGCCGCTTAAAATATGGATTGTTTATTTCAAATTTATCATCATTTATATTGAGTAACTAACTACGATATCTGTGACCTATTCTGTGCGATAGCTGTCCATCTGACCTTAAGGTACTTTAATCACACAGTTAGAACATAATATGACGTAAAAATGCAGTTTTAAACTAGTGTCACTTGTTTGGTGGTTAATCTTTAAATTAAAAAGTAAACAAACAGTTTTATCAAAACTCATTCCGGTTATTAAAGTTTGAATGACAAAGGATTAAAATACTAATAAACACCGACGAAAAGTTTACTGTCATATTAACTTTGTACAATTGCTACGATTAAATTTATATTTATATAGACCATTAGATAAGATTAGACTTACATTAACTTTCAGACCAAGTGAACAACAAGTTGTTTATCTACTGAGTGAATAAATCAAAGCAAAGTCTTATACTGTGCTAAAATGAACAGCTGCACTAAGGAATATCCTTACGAAATAATGAAGTTGGATCCTGAGGAGCACTCGGAAGTGTTTAAGCAGTTCAATTCAGGTTATTTTTATTTAAGAACTATTTTCGGTCGGGAAGCGTCACTTTAGCAGTCTTGTTTTTCTTGTTAAAAATTGTGTTGTGGCGGATGTTAGTGTCTAATAATGGTGGATTATTAACCACTAAGTGTTCGGGAACATGCACAAGTGTTGGCAAGTGAAACCAAATAGCGGAAAGTGTCTTTCGACGTTCCCTCAAGAAGTCCACGGGGAGGTTCCAGTAAATCCCCACACTTTTACTGAAACATGGGGAAAGGGGGATTGACTTGACTGCCACTTACTTTGACTTGACTTATTACTTTGACCACGAGTGCTATAGTATTTGTATACCTACATTTAACACTTGACATTGGCTAAATGCACAAGCCGTGCGAAGCCATTTAGAAAAAAAAAGAACATTAACAAAGACTTTTTGGCGGGATCGGGAAGCGTCACTTTAGCAGTTTTGTTTTTCTTGTTAAAAATCAACATCAATACAATCATAATCTTATTTCATATTAGTGGCCCGCCCTCGCTTCGCTTAGGTGTACGTCTGTAGTCTGTAGTATAGACTATATTTTTTGTTCTCGGGCTTGTATTTATGCACTTTTTTATTGGTTGAACGCGTAAATCTCAGGAAATACTGGTCAGATTTGAAAAAAACTTTTTCTGTTGGATAGTGCATTTATCTAGGATGGCAATAGGCTATATAACATTACGCTGCTACCAGCAGAAGCGAGCATCGCTGAATAATAATAGAAAATCGTGTAAAAATATTCCATTTTTGAGCCTCCGTTGCGTGCGGTGGGCAAACGGTCAAACTAAGAGAAAAATCATGTATTACAGAATTATTCCAAGATAGTTAGACATAATGGTATCGCGGATTTTTTTATAGATATTGATGTCCTCTTTAAAAGTTTAGTACCTATGTCACTTTGCTCTATTGTCAATGACTTCCGCAGCGTACGCGACATAAAGTTATTTTATGATATTTTTACACACGCTGGATTACATTATTATAGAAGTTTTCATACTGTACCGTAACTTTTCTGAAAATACTCTATGTTCATCACGGATAATGAATGATTCTAAACGTGAAAGAATTTTTCGAATCGGTCCAGTAGTTTCGGAGCCCTTTCAATACAAGCAAACAAACAAATCTTTCCTCTATAAAATATTAGTATAGATATTATACTTAGGTACATACGTTACGTACTTATAATAAGGAAATCTTGTATTATTAATTTAATAAATATTAATACTTTGAAATGATAACGTTAGCTGGCACGGAAAAGTCAGAGGAAATTTGCCTGAACAAAATTTTAATTTCATGATCTTCCTCTCATTTAAAATGCTATATTATTTAGAAAAACAACCCTTATTATTTACCCTTTCGACAATTAATATAAAATACGTCATGAGATTTTTTTCACATTTTACGAGTTTGATTCCCGGTTGTGGCAGGCGATTTTAAAAAAATCTGTGAATGCAGTTCTACTTTTCAATAATAAAATGATGTCTTCTTTCAGAAAAAAATACTTATCTTCAATATTTAATATACTTTCCATTCGTGTAAAAATGCCGTGAGACGCCCTGTAGACGCTTGCAATACCAAAGTATCAATGCGCTATCGACTACCCTGACCTCATCCCCTACCCCGTAGAGTCCTTCCCCCGTCTACGGGGTAGGGGATGACCCCCTAGAGTCCTAAAACCTTTCTCGCCGACAACAACACAATACCATCCACGATAAGGTAGTGTTATTTCTCTGTGATCTTCAGTAAGGAAGGCTACTTGCGCACCGACAACAAGACGGCTTCGACCACGGGCAGTGGCCGCATCGACCAGATTAACTAGAGTTGGCCATTGTGGTCAAGTGAGCGACGCACGTCCGTATGGTTTCTTTTGTTAATCTGGTCGTTGCAGGTACTGGCCGTGGTCGTGGTCGTCTAGTGCGCGAGGTGCTTTAAGTGAAAGTTACTTCCTCAGACAGGCGCCATTTTTTTTAATGTTTAATATTATTATTAAATATCTTTTATTTAGAGGCAGGTATTATTGAAGATTTCGTACGTGTCGGTCCAAAGGGTTACTGGTTTCCACATGGGTTTGCGGAGTTGGCTCAAAAACTCTACAACATGGAAGTCAGACCTGATGACGTTTGGGTGATAACATTTCCAAAATCAGGTGAGACGACATTTTATACGTTTTACAGAAAAATTTACTAGAAAAACATCCACGCAGACCAGACAGCAGACGAGAATCGAACCCTTACCCATCCTGCTATCCGTGCGAATACACTGACCATTATGCTACCTCGGCCCTGATGGCCGTGTCGAATTGTTGGTTTTGGAGGACTAGGTAGTCGCCATATATCACACATTGCCCTTCACGCTTTTCTGTCTACTGCACATGGTACAGCCGAACTTTTTAATAAAATACTACATCCTTCTTTTTGGAGCTGGCTCACCTTGCAGAGGCCAGGTATTCATGGTGTAGGACAGCTATACTCTAAGTGTGTTCCGCGGAACCCTAGGGTTCCGTGATACCTCTGTCGGGGTTCCGCAAGAATTTAGAAATAAAAAAATCAAAACACCTCTCTCTGGTCGCTCCGCGGCTGTGCGGACTCCGCGGCCGCGCGGAGACAAAACGCTATGAATGTTATTTATTTATTTATTTGTATTTGTATAAGCTTGTGTTACATTAGCTGGTACAATATCTCATAAGTTTGGTCTCAACAATTTTATACTTGTACAACGCGTTCGCTCTAAGTTTGCCGGTCTGTGGAATGCGCGTACCCTCCCCCACGTGACAACAAAACTTATAATGTGTCATAGTTTTACCCAAATATCTAACGTACACAATTTTTATTGTTACAATTAAATAAAAAATTTCGAACGTCATACACTCATACCTATCGCCAGCGGCAAACTTAAAACGAGCGGGTAGTATACTTGTAAGCGCTCAGTCTCTTTGATAAAAGCCGCCTCTGAATTAGACGCTATAGTTGTCAACTAGCGACTTTCGTCTCTAACTTCAAAGGATAAAGTCGATATTGTTTACAACGCTATTTTTAAATTTCTGTTTTTATTTTTGCTTTTTGTTTATCAAAGGTGCCGACTCGAGTATTTTCGAGAATATTTGAGATCGAGTCTAGGACTAAGTATAAAAGCGGCGATCGCGCGTTGGCGTCGTCAGTTGATGATTAGCGTTCGGAGCGATAAGTTACTACCTACTTACAAGCTCGCTAGCGAGAAACTGGTGTTCATTGTTTTACTGCCTGCTGTATTCTGTTGTCTCAGTTTTATACATTTCTTCCCTGTAGGTTCTAAATTTAGTCTCTTATACGCAGTAACGATTGTGCATTATTTAAACCCCACTATCCTGACTTGTAACATTATAAATAAAGAAGAATGGAACGTTGGCTTAAAGGTGTTAAACGTGTTCCAACAACATCTTCTAATGACGCTGAATGTTCAAAAGCAATGCGCGCGGAGAATTTAGCAATCACCGATCCAGAAGATGATGCCACGAGTGCCACGACGTCAAGCTCGACGGTTTCAAAGACGAAAAAAAGGAAGTATGATGAATCTTATATCAGTTTCGGATTTGTTGATTCCAACGGCTCACCTCTCTGCATGCTCTGTAGTAAACTGCTTCCTAATAGTTCCATGGCACCTGCCAAATTGCGTCGACATTTAGAAACCGTACACCCCGAGACTAAAGACAAGAATAAAGAATTTTTTGTTCGCAAAAAAGATCAGTTATTAGAAAGTCAAAAAAATATGATGCATGTAACACAAACTACCAACGAAAAGGCCACGGAGGCATCATACTTAGTTAGCTATCGCATTGCACAAGCAGGTGAAGCGCACACTATCGCTGAGAAATTAATAAAACCATGTGTATTAGACATAACAAAATGTATGCTTGATGAAAAATCTGCAAAGCATCTTTCTACTGTTCCGCTATCAAACGATACTGTTTCACGACGAATCCATGATCTGGCAAGCTACGTCAAACAAGAACTAGTTACACGTCTACAAAATACACGATTCGCTTTGCAAATGGACGAGTCGACTGATGTCGCTGGTTTGGCTATCCTGCTGGTTATTGTGAGATATCCATATAAAAGTTCTTTTGAAGAAGACATGCTTATGTGTTCATCGCTGCTTACAAACACTACCGGGGAAGAAATTTTTAATAAAATAAATATATTTTTTGAAGAACATAATCTCAGTTGGAACAATCGCATTGACATTTGTACAGATGGGGCCAAGGCGATGACAGGTAAAACAGCAGGAGCAGTGTCACGAATGAAAAATAAAGCGCCTAATTGTAGTTCCAGTCATTGTATTCTGCATAGACAAGCACTTGCGATGAAGCAAATGCCGTCTAATCTAAAATTAGTTATGGATGAAGCGGTAAAAATAATTAATTTTATCAAATCACGACCACTACAATCCCGATTGTTCTCATTATTGTGTGAAGATTATGGCAGCAAACATAAAACACTGCTGCTCCATACAGAAGTGCGATGGCTGTCTCGGGGAAAAACTTTAACAAGGCTATTTGAACTTAGAGCCGAGTTACAAATGTTTCTTTCAGCAGATACTTCTTTTAATTTGAAGGACCGTTTGTATGATAAAACTTGGTTGTTCCGATTGTCTTTTATGGCGGATATCTTTCAAAAACTTAACGAATTAAATTTATCATTGCAAGGTAAACAGACAACAGTGTTTCAGGCCTATAATAAAATAACTACTTTTAAAAGAAAATTAGATTTTTGGATCATTTGCATTGGTAAGAAAGAAATAGAAAGTTTTACGTTACTCACTGAGTTTGTTAGCGAAAACGACTCAGAAATGTTTGAAGATAATGTGTTTGAAGAATTGGTCCAATATCTCAGTTCGATGCGCGCATCTTTTGAAAAGTATTTTCCCGAAGAACACAATACAAAAATTAAAGTGAACTCCTGGATTCATAATCCTTTTTTACCCAACTTGGAAAAGCCTGAAAACATGTCAAATGAGATATATGAATCTCTTTTAGAAATGTCATCAGACACAAGTATGGAGTCATTGTTCAAAACGACGCCTCTTAATGATTTTTGGTGCAGAATCCAAGATGAATATGCAATGCTTGGCCAAATGGCTCTGGATATTCTTCTCCCGTTCCCAACTACATATTTGTGCGAAACAGGATTCTCTACCTACGCAGCCACGAAAACAAAATATCGCAATAGACTGGACGCCGAAGCTGATATGAGACTCCAACTTTCTTCCATCAAACCTGATATCAAGCAATTGATGAAAAATAAAAAACAGTTTCATACCTCCCACTAGTTAGATTTTTTCTTTTTTAATGTTTTCTATTATTGTCCTTACCAAGTGGTGAAGTAAATAATAATTAGTAACGGATACATTGTACTTTTATTATGCTGATTAATATAGAATACACTTATAAAAATAATTGTTTTATTGTAGGGTTCCATCAAGTATTTTGCTTCCCAAAAGGGTTCCGTCATTTAAAAAGTTTGAGAACCACTGGTGTAGGACATTGAGTGTTATCATCAAAAAATCTAAATATTTAATGTTTGGCAAAGCAGATTAGCACAAGACCCGTAATTTATCTATTTACTGTGATAAATTTTAGAGCCTGCGCTGCGTTTAGCTGGTCACGGAGCGGGCGTTTTTGCAGTGCAGTTTTTGTGTCATTGCATAGAGACTCGCTGCGCGGAAGACCCGCATCAGAGCGTTTACACATTATTCGGTCCGATATCGGTATCGGACGCCGACATCGGGGCAAGTAATATGTATAAAATATGTCTATTATGTCCCGTCTTTCACATTGTTCGGCCCGATATCGAATATCGGGGCTGACACCGATATTTAGATTATTAGCAGACGCCCGTGAGCTATCGGACGATAAAGTTTGTAATGTGTTCTATACTGCCTTACTGGTGAAGAAGGCAGAAAGTGACGTTTTTTCAAGAAATGAGTTAATTATGGATTCGTTCGATGTCGACAATATTTACTAAACTTATCCGTAGAAAACCAAAAATCCTTTCAACTGAATATGGGGATATGACGTTCGGGCGAACGTGTAGCTATTGTAGTCATAAGTAAGTTAAAAATCTCTCTTCCGTCTTCACACTACTATGAGGTTATACTAAAACTAATCAAGCCATTTTAGTTGATTTTACCATGAATTAAGTATGTTCCAATTAAGTTACGATTTATTTTGTAAAAGAGAACTAATTCACCCGACTTAGATGATGTGTTGTAGTCCAAAGGTAGGGATGGTTTTTTTTTTTAAATCTTTATTGTACAATAATAATTAGGGGTTTTGTCCGTAGATATGTCACCCCTATAATTTATGTCTAAGAATGTTCATAACTACATACTATACAAACTTAACTTATCTATTTTTTAAGGCAGCTTGAATAAATTTGTATAACAGTATCGCTTCTTTAGTACATGGATGCATCAAAATACAATTACCAGCACCTATATCGTAATTATTAATATTTAGCTTTCTTCTCATACTCGCCGTCCGGGTACATTCCATTATAATGTGATAAACATCCTCTATTGCATCGCAAATACTACAATTTGGAGAATCTACTTTTTTCATTAAAAATGCAAAACAATTTAGTGGTATGTGTCCGGACCTCAGTCTTAAAGCGGTTATTATATCAGTTCTGTTTAATTCAGCACATTCCTTGAACCACAGGGACCGAGGAAGTGATGGCTGTATGGTTTTATACCATATTCCTTTAGTTAATGATCTTTCGTCAAAATATTCTGCCCATGCTTTAAAGCAGTATCTTTTGGTATGTTGCAAGATATCTGTATGTAACGGTAAGCATTCGTATTCAATCCCGTCGCTTATTGCTTCTTTTGCAAGGCGATCTACTTCCACGTTCCCTGCCACACCGACGTGCGAAGGAACCCACTGAATATATATAACATATTTATTTTGTTTCTTTAATTTACAAATTAAATCTATTATAGTATATCCCAATGGAAAGCCCCTTATATTACGAGTACACATTGCTATATGTTGAATAGTGCTTTTGGAGTCAGTTGCAATTATAAATTGATTACCATCTATACTTTGGATATAAGAGAGAGCTTCCAGAATAGCAATCATTTCAGTATACATGATAGAAATATTACATTCGACGCGTAGTTTAATGAAATCGCCAGTTTGTCAGTCAAGAAATGCTACACCGCTGGAATTACCTACTTTTGATCCGTCAGTAAATAGGATATAGAAATTCATATATTTATCTTGGAACATGTTATGACAGAATGCTTTTAGGTGTTGATTATTGTATAATCGTTTTGCTTTGTCAACTTCAGATATACTATCTCGAAGATTATCTGTCAAATCAATATTAGTGACCCATGTACTTAACGAAAACATTTCCAATCGCCCACTACAGTGTACTGGTACTGTTTGGTCTATTTCGTGTGTCAATAATAGCAACGGCTTCTTTTTATTGCGCCAAAACAAATTTGAGCAAAGACCTGAAAGCTCTTCAAGACAATAGGGAAGATGCAATATGTTTATTTTTGTTTTCATTTTAAAGAATTCCATGTAGAATAAACCACAGATATATTAAAAAATTAAATTATTGTGATTTATCGGAAAAAATGCGAAAACGAACCTATGTTTGCGATGACGTCACTCCTGTCTGTCACTGGTCGTACTTGTTCGTTGCTGGCTTTAAATTTTCATACTTTTGCATATTTTTTCGAATTTCGAAATATTTTTTTGAAAAATTTAAAATGGACTATCCATCAACATCATGTGATCATAACAATACCACTAATATTCCGAAAAAAGCCGTGTTGACTCATGTTTTGTGCCAATCTACTTCAACAAAGTTCCCAAATAAATTGTTTTTGACTGGAACTTCTGACACAAAACTGAAAAAAAAAACCTGGTTTCAAGCTGCGAAGAGAAATGACAATTTATTCTCCAAAGACCATTATTCGATGCTGAGAAGATAACTTTGACGTAAGTCGGCGAATATATTTGTTATTTGCTTAATTAATCTGCTTGTACGTAAAAACGCATTAGTAACCTACCTAATACTTACAAAACCTGTCTATAACATATTTTTAATTTTACAGTTGGAGAATGACGTCGAAAATTAGATAAAGTTTAAATGTGTGGCACAATCTTCACATTGGCAGGACTGAACCAAGGTTTGCGTTTCATTTAAAATAACTGTAACACGATAACCTTCTTTACGTACTTTATGCTCCGGAGAACTCGACCTTTTACTGTACATAATTCTCCATCCCTTTTAATTTGGACATAGCCGATTGCATTATCGCCGTAAGATTTGTAGAAGCCGCTGAATAAAATACGAAGTTTAACAACTACGATTTTTACATACCGTAGTAATTTAGTCCCTTTCATTTCTACACTTAAAAACTCTGCACTTTGGACAAAAAAAGTTATAACCATGTCAACGCTAACTCTTGGTAACAGGAATTTACAGTCTACTTTGATAAACGCAACTTCCATTTTTATTAAATGTAAAAAAACGCAATAAATATTCCCATAAAATAATATTTACTTTATCAACCATAACCTCAAAGAAGTTGTCATAACAGGAGTGACGTCACTATACGCTGATTGGTGTTTTAAAATACGTTCCGTTTCAAGTATTTTTAATTCGTAATAATTGTTAAAAAACAACATTATGTAAAATAAAAACGTTGCAGTGGCATTTCTTTTATATTTTTTTAACATTTTAATCATAAAATTTTCATAAATATTATACATGCATCTTCCCTATTCAGCAAAGAATCAAATTTAAAAGATTTATTTTTGACGTAAAATTTTCCAGCTATATACCTTCGTCTAATGAACAGTGGTGGAGGTAGGGATGGTGTTTTGGCAAAACTATTAGTCGTACCTATAGACATAACTGGAAGGTTGAAATACGTAGAAGAAAATAGTGATTTAGAGGGCATTTCTAACTCAATTTTGACCAAATGTCGAGTTGGTGACCTTTCACTTTACGCCGACATTGTGGGCGATTTTATCGGAATTATGTGAAGACACCACCGATTTCGGCTAACGGCGTCCGAGACCGATTTCGGATCGGGTAATGTGTAAACGCTCTCACTCAGCGCTGCTCTATGAAATAACATGAAACCAACACGCGGAGCGGTGCTTCCGCTCAGGCTTATGGGGTTCCGTATCTCAAAAGAAAAAAAACTGAACCCTTATAGGATCACTTTGCTCTCCATCTGTGCGTCTCTCTGTCAGTATGTCCATACCAATTATCCGAACCCGTTGAGGAATCCAGTTGAAATTTAAACATTTCAGATTTACGATTCCTTCCCCATTCATCCCCAAAATGTGACAAAAATCACACTTTTAAATTAATATAAAATATATTTAATAATATAGTTTGAAAAAAACTAAAAAAACAGGCTTCGCGTTAGCATATTGAACTAAAAATTAGAAAATACTTATTAATGATTGATATTTTATTGAACAGCGATAGAAAGTCTACTAACTCAATATACTTCTATAATTTTCAGTGATTTTAAAATAAAGTAATAAAAAGAAAATTAATTTCATTGTAAAAAAAAGCGTGGGGTGCTTGATATTGATTGTTGTTAATATATCAGTAGTATCTATTTATAAAACCTATCATAAAAATATAATAAAAAGCACCACACGCTATTTTTTGCAATAAACTTAATTTTCTTTTTAGAATCATTGAAAATTACTGATGTGGGTACCTATATTGAGTTAGTTTGGCTTAATTTTTCTTCTTTAGTCTTATGCATAATAAGTAGTGATAGTGATCAGAATACGTAATATTTAGTATAACTTACTCGAAAATAAATCTAAAATAATTTTATTAAGTTCAACAGCTTGTCAATCGGAAAAAGAATAATTAATATACCAATTCCATATCGCTGTGGTTATGACAAAGTGAGTTTCTTCTACAGTACTAATTTATGGATATGATCTACTAACATTTTATGCTTCACCACTACTATTTCTGCAAGTGATATTGCATAAAGTATAAATAATAAATAAATAAATATTTCCGACACTCACACCAATAAGCTCGCCCCAAAGTAAGCACTATAAGGCTGGAGTACAAATGCTCGTATTTATCACACAAACATCTGCCCCCACCGGGATTCGAACCCGGGACCTCTCGAGTCGGCGACAGCCATGAAACCCGGCGTACAAACCACTCGGCCACGGAGGTCGTCAAAATATTAATAAAATATTATATAAGTATGTCCATTCCTTGCACTTATAGTCGTAACAATAAGGCATTGACCAAAAAAGCTTAGATATGATTTGATGGCTACAGATTACGGGATAGTATCTCACACTATCTTCTAACAAAATTACCGTTTGTCTTCCTTACAGGGACAACTTGGATACAAGAATTAGTATGGCAGGTGGCAAATGATTTCGACTATCCTAAAGCTGAAGCTATTCCCCTCGTGGAAAGATTCCCATTTCTAGAGTAAGTAAATATTTTAATAGTGCTGTATAAGTATTTATTTAGTTATCTATTACGATTATGGAATCATTGATTACGATCAGCTTATTTTATTTTATTTTATTTATTCGGTATACATAACATGTTACAATCAACAAAGTACTAACTTATAATAATTGAGGAATCGATCAAAATTGCAACACTTAACATGCATACACAAAAAATTTCGTAATATAAAACAAAGGACAATATATCGATATTAACTGTTACATTGCTTTAAATTAAATTCATTCAAATAAAAACAAATTGAATACTATAGATTAGATAAAATTACTTACAATTGATTTAAATATATGTATTACATATATTACATTTATGAAATTATATTACATTACAATAAAAACAGAACATTAGCAAATCAATTAAATAAGATATTATCAAGTACATATTTAATTAAATAAATAAGGTTAAAAAAAAAACTTATTATATTAAAGCGCTTGGCCTACGATTTCTAGAACACATTTTTTAAATTGATTCGGATTGAGACTAAACAAATCCACATTCTTATGCACACCAACTAACTCATTATAAGCACGACACATCCTGACTATTGGATTGTAATAGGAAGTATTGTTAGTGAATACTTGAAGCACAAAAAATTTAGAACTACGAGACTTGTATCTAATATTAAAATTCAGAAGCGAGAGAAGCGATGGACTATCCATGTGCGAGTTAGCGATTTTATATAGACAGTTTAAATCAAAATACTTACGACGAGACTCAAGGGACTGCATATTAAACCTTGTCATCCTGTCCTCGTAACGCTTAATTTTTCTGTGAAACCCATATCGATAGCAGAGTATCCTGAGAAATCTACGTTGAACTCCTTCTATGCGCTGCACATGAACATTGTAAAACGGTGACCAAATGACGGTATTAAATTCGAGAACACTTCTTACAAGAGTTTTATATAAGTAAATTAGACTTTCTGGATTCTTGAAGCCTTTGGTACGACGCAAAATAAAACCAAGTGTGCGATTACACTTGTTTATTATGTGATCATAATGAGTTCGGAAAGTAAGCTTCTCATCAAAGAAGACACCAAGATCCCTGACAACATTCCTCCGCTCGAGAGTATGTCCATGCAATTTGTAGTCATAAAGAAGTTGGTGCTTTTTATTAGTGAAGGATACGACAAAACATTTGTCAACATTTAATAGCATGTCGTTTCTAGTGCACCACTGGTCGAGGATGTTCAGATTTTCCTGCAGAACCTCCGCATGATTCTGGTTTTCTATTGTCATAAACATCTTGAGATCATCCGCATAGAGCAAGCATGGGCACGTTAAGCGTTCTATAAGATCGTTTATGAAAACGTCAAAAAATAGGGGCCCGAGGTGCGATCCCTGGGGCACACCAGAGGTGACAACGAGCGGTGCTGACAAATAACCCTTAATTGCAACTAGCTGGCTTCTCCGACTAAGATAAGACTTAATCCATCGGTGTAAGCTACCATGTATTCCATCGTAAGCAAGTTTTTTGCATAACATGTTGTGGCTAACTTTATCAAAGGCTTTGGTAAAATCCGTATAAATACTATCTACCTGTCCTCTCTTGGAGAACGAACAGCAAAGATAATTTTTATATTCCAATAAATTAGTGGTAGTGGATCTATCTGGCACAAACCCGTGCTGTTTAGGAATTATCAGTTGCTTAAAGTGACTGTAAAGAAAGTCATAAATCAATGATTCAAACAGTTTTGCAAAACATGAAAGAATACTAATAGGCCTATAGTTCGCACAATGTGTTCTATCTCCGGATTTGTGAATAGGAACTATATGTGCCACTTTCCAACATTCCGGAAACACACCAAAAGAAAGAGAAGTATACTGTGTTACAGCTAAGTATAAAATAAAGAAAACTATTGCTCATAACTTTATTAATTCAACGTAGTATATCTCCTACAGGCTTGCAATGTTTTACAACGGCAAGAAAGCTCGAACAGTACTTGGAGGTAATGAGAAAGGAAAAGTTTTGCTGGACGCAGTGAACAAGACGTTCGATCAAGTGTCGTCAATGCAGTCGCCGCGGTTCATCAAGTCGCATTTGCCGCTGTCGCTGCTACCGCCCGCGCTGCTGGACTCCTGCCGCGTGTTGCACATAGCACGTGACCCCAGGGACGTGGCCGTCTCCTTCTACCACCACTACCACTTCTTCCGATTCATGGGCTATTCGGGCAACTTTAAGCAATTCTGGAATTTATTCATTGAAGATAAAAGTGAGCACATACATATTTTAAGGGCGCTTTTCACTCGCGCAGCGTTTAAAATAATAAAGGTCCCGCTCTACATTTGTATAACGTTAAAGCGTTAATGATACTTGTAAAACATATTGAAAGTTGAACTACAATATGTTAATATGATATTGATTCGTATTTGTAAACAGCCCACCGGACAAATCCCTTTAATTTATGGCGTACTTTTAACTTTGTTAAATAAAAATACGAGATATTTATATTCCACCAAATTATACCTTTTATTTTGGTAGAATAAAAACATAACTTACTTTAAAGAAAACAATTTTCAACGGTATAGATGCACTGATTTATTTATTTATTGACGTTTCGCATCTTGTACAGGATGCGTCTTCTGAATAATGAATTTATTTACTTACCAAAAGTAAAAGGAATGAAAACTTTAAAGGATGCTAAACATCAATAAAGTGAAGCATATAAATTAATCAGTGCATCTATACCGTTGAAACTTGTTTTATTTAATGAGTGGTGTGCGTGAAAACCTACGAAACAAATAAGTTACTTTACTGAATTTCAGTTGACTGGACTCCATATTTCGAGAACGTAAAAGAATCGTGGCGCATGAGGAACCACCCTAATATGCTATTCCTGTTTTACGAAGACGCCTTGAAGGTGAAAGTGAACATTGTATTGTAATCACAGAACACACAGAAAGAGCTTAGATTAGAAGGGCCTTGTGGGCGGAGCAGACGTGCTACAATTGGCAGAAACTTGTGTTCGCGTCGTTGCTCTCGGCTGTGACTCACAGCATCAGCGCTCACAGCCTGTGAGCGCTGATGCGTTCGATTGTTTGACGTCGCGTCGTTTGATTGGCTTGTTGTCTGTTAGGTGGAACTGTAGTGGGAGCGAGCCGGGGACTTCGGTTCCTATACAAACGGTGCATAATCGATCACCCTTTTAACCTCTTCCTGTGTTCTGCAGTTGTAATCAATTATTTAAATACTCTAAGATCATCTATCGCTCGCATGATATTTATTATGGATCCTAATGGCTGGAATATGGAGATTGGGCCACATGACCCACTACTTGGGCGCTTTGTGCTGATCATGCAGATGGGTGGGTGCTAATGAATTTGGATGTGGGTTCGACTTAATATGAGTTGCAAAGCACTGAAGATCTCAAGGTAATACATTTTTAGAAACCCATCGTATAATCGGCCATTGCGAAAAATGCGCAGTCGCAGACGGACCGCACTAACCACTGCACCAAAGTGCTCCTCCTATAGTTTTATAATACTAATGTCAATTTACCTAAACTCACATTTTCCAGACATTCTAGTTTTAAATTGTTGCAAGGTGGTTTAGACTCTAATAAAAACTTTCTGATTATAAGGACCTGCCGTCAACGGTGAAGAAAGTGGCTGCATTTCTCGGGAAGGCGGTGACAGAGGAGCAGGTCAGGCGACTCTGCGACCATCTTGCCTTCGACAACTTTAAGAAAAATAAATCTGTTAATTTTGAAGTTCTCAAGGACACAGGTGCTACTAGCACTGAAAGGTCTTTTATGAGAAAAGGTAACAATCATTATCTATACCAATATTATAAAGAGTAAAGATTTGTTTGTTTGTTTGTAGGCTCCGAAACTACAGAACCGATATGAAAAATTCTTTCACGTTTAGAATTCTACATCGTCTCTGATGAACATAGGCAATAGAGTATTTTCAAAAAAGTTAGGGTTCCGCATAAAAACTTCGATAACGAAACCCAGGGTGTGAAAAAATATCAAAGAATAATCTTATATCGCTTACGCTGCGGAAGTCATTGAAAGTAGAGCAAAGTGATGTACTAAAGTTTTATAGAGGACATCAATATCTACAAAAATGACCGCGATACCATATGTCTAACTATTACAGTTATGTCTCAACTAAAAGTCCCTGCGGTTTCACCCGCCTTAAACTTAAAAATCGGTTTATGCTGTTGCAGATTTTTTAAATAACTTTTAACGGGGAATAATTCCTCCATACATGATTTTTGTGTAACTTCAATCATTTACGCAGCGCACGCGAGCCCGAGCTTCCGCACAAATGGAATATTTTTACCCGTTTTTGCAACATTTTACATCGATGATCTGCTCCTACTGGTCGCAGCATGATGGTATATAGCCTTAAGCCTTCTTCAATAAATGCACTATCTAGCACATAATATTTTTTTCAAATTGGATTATTAGTTCATGAGATTTGCGCGTTCAACCAAAAAAAATATGCATTGGGTACAACGGGTCCTAAAGTACCCAACACAATTTTCATTATCAAAAAAATATTTTTGAAGTGAAACATCTTTACGCACGCTTGACTTGGGGAGTAAGATAGCGAACGTGTTACGCGTAACGAAAAGTGTGCGCGTTGCACGTTAAAAATGGATTTCTATACACTTTAGTAGTACCGACAACAGTAATGCGGGCCTTTCTGTTTTCATTTTTAAATAAAGAATAAAAGCATTTATAGCAGCAGGTTTAGTATAAATACTTTTAAAATGTTCCAGGCAAGGCTGGCGGGTGGCGCGAGTACTTCAACGAGGAGATGCTGCAGCAGGCGCAGCGGTGGATGGAGCACAACCTGCGGGACACGGACCTTACATTCCCTTCAGTAAAATAAACACGTTATTCTCCTAGACGACCTCCTTGGGTTTCATGGTGTCGCCGACTCGAGAGGTCCCGGGTTCGAATGCCGGTGGGGGCAGATGTTTGTGTGATGAATACGAGCATTTGTACTCCAGTCATGGATGTTTAATATGTATTTCTATATAAATATACTTATATATGCTCAGTATATGTATTCTATCCGTTACACTCGTATCCCATAACACAAGCCTTATAGTGCTTAGCTTGGGGCTAGGGGAATTGGTGTGAGTGTTGGAAATATTTATTTATTTATTGCTGATCTGTATTATATTATTATGTGAAGGAAAAACATTCGCAACCTCTTTCAATTTTCTATAATAACATAAAATAGTAAAGAGATTGTGCTGTTATGAGATTTTACCAAATATTTATTAAGTTCACACAGATATGACATACGTAGTAGGTAATAGCAATAATAAACATTAAATAGGTACCTTGCTTTTGTTTTTTTTTCCTACTTACCTCATACCCATCATTGTGTAACATTAGACAGCAATTTTATTGAGGATAGGGTGTCTCCTATATTGTACAACATCCGAAGAGAGAGTCAAATGAAGTCCTTCATCTATCGAATTACCAGACGAAAAGTATGTTGGCCTTACTGTGAACACTACAAAGACGCAGACAGCTCTTACTTCATTTCAAGGATCAAATTATGAACATTTACCTCATAAAATAACCTTTGACTATAATTCCTTTACCAAGCACTTACAAAATCTTTGAGGGGGTTAGGTCAGGAAGAAAGACTTTTTATTTTCAGCTCGCACTTTTACACAACTTTTTGCCCACCAGTACTAAAATAACTCCGGTGCGGACGTTCTATCTGATTGACTATGGTGATGCTTGATACACTGACCTTACTGAGGAATTCCTAAATTAATTGAACGTCTGCAGAATGTATGTATGTATTAGATTTATTTTTATCCTCCGGAAGTACGATCATGTCTCCTGATTAGGGCATCGAGCCGGGGTTTAACCGTTCCGGAAAATCCCGGGTTTTCCTGGTTTTTAGAATTACAAAATAACCCGGGGTGGATTTTTAAAACTCCGGTTTTTCGGTTATCTATATACATAAAATAAAATGGTAGGAAAGTCAAAACTGTACATTGAATATTTTTTTAAAAGAATACTTGGGGTGTGATCTACAATCGATACCGAAGCCAAAAATATAGTTTTTAGAATTTTTGTCTGTCTATTTGTCTGTATGTATGTCCGGGATAAACTCAAAAAGTACTGCATGGACTTATTTCAAATTTGGCACGAATATAAGTCGGGTCAACATATAGGCTACATATTATCACACTACGGGGAACGAGCAGTGAACCTTTATTTCTAACTAACTCCACGCGTAAGAAGTTGCGGGTGGCCGCTAGTTTTTAATATATTTTATTATTTATTGAGACATTTTGAATAAATGAAAAAAAACTCGCTTCAATAAATTATAACGTTAAAGAAGCTTGTTCGCTACGTTCATCTACCTTAAACAAGCAATGCAAGTTCGTTAACTTATTTCATGACAAACGGTAATATAATAGGTCAAGACCTAATATAAATGCACAAACTTTATCTGAACTGAAATTTCAGACAATTTGATGGGAAACATAGATACGTTAGGTATCTAAGATAATAACTTCAGTTTTTCAATTCAAGCTTTATTTTCTAATAATGTTATGTACATACACCTTACCAACATAATATGATTATCCATTAATAAAAAGTGTTATGTTTTTAAATTAAATCAATCTACGTTTATTCAACGGTAGGAAACCTCAGGTCAGTGTCTCGCAGGTTGTGCTCCATCCACCTCTGCGCCTGCTGCATCATCTCCTCGTCGAAATACCCTCGCCAGTCACCCGCCTTGCCTATAAATTAATAAATTAATAGTAATCATCCATACAGAAACGTATATCTTTCCGCCCGCTGCTTCGCTTGCGTGCGCTACAACTTTCAATCCCATTACAAGTAGGTAACGACCACTTAAGGGCTGAAGTTTTAATGAGTATACTGTTATTCAAGTACACAGATGAGAAAATTCCGAAAAAATATAAGGCAACTTCAAAATAACTGCCTGTGTGCCAAGACAATACCCGAAATTGGCGCCATTTTTTTTTATTTCGCGGCCATTGACCAAACCTTGTTAATTAGGTAGAGAACAATGTAACAAACAAAACTTAATATGCCATGTACGAGGGAAGGTCTGAAAGTTCACGGAATGAATCCCTAAAAATCAAAGAAAATACTATTATGATCTTCTTGGAATCGAATAAAACATCAATTATTGTTGAATTTACAAACTTTTCCCAATACAATTACATAAATCGTAATAATTTGAAAAAAATAGGATTTGGATATAGATGACTTATGCTCCACTAAGCTGGTAATTAGGTTTTTCGTCAAATTGGGAAAAAGTTTCTATCAGAAACAAGCACCATGGGGAAGTAAACGCTATCAAATTATCTAAATAATTAGTGTTACGGTCAACGAGTTAAATATAATTATCTAAGTTGTTGGCTATGGACGTTATGGTAAATGAATTTGGGTTGCACTCCTAATACAATAGTACTATGGCATTGCCACTAAAAAATTCCACGGCCATACCTGGGGCATATTCATATTCATATTCATTTATTGCATTCTTGTTGTTTACATGCTGTTACAAAAAATATATATATATATCATTCCAAACAAGAACCCAGTTAGGGTATTGCAATATTCCTAAACTAAATAGATAGAATCTACAGTCACAATTATGAAACGTTCCAATATTTCAATTGTAAAAATTAATTCGATTGTCCAAAATATTATGCAAATGTCAAACATTTAAACTTAATACTAATTAGGTAGATCTACAGTCATAATTATAAAACGTTCCAACATTAACAAATTTTCAATCAACCATTTAAAAATTAATTCAATTGTCAAAAATATAATCCAAATGTCAAAATTTAAAACTTAATACTAAATAGGTAGATCTACAGTCATAATTATAAAACGTTCCAACATAATAAATTTTCAATCTTGTAAAACATATTTAAAAAAATAATTAATTGTTCAAAATATAATGCAAATGTCAAAAATTCAAAACTTTTCACTAAAATATTCATTAATTGTATAAAATGTCTTACATAGTAAAAAATTCTTTAGTGCAGGCTCAAACTTTTTACCCTGGAGGGTCTTTAAGGAATTAGGCAAATGATTATAAACTTTAATTGCCTTGTAGTAGGCGCTATTTTGAAAGACCGTTAGATTCGGTGTGGGCAAGACGAAATCGTTTCCGCGGCGCGATACTTAACGTTTTGACATGTCACCGATGCGACAAAAATACTTACTATGAGTTCTTACAAATCGGCATAACTCAAATATATAGACGCAAGTAACTGTTAGTATGTTTAACCTTCCAAATAACATTCTACACGAGTCTCTTGATGCTGTGAATGTTATTATTCTCAGACATCGTTTCAGTAGGATAGAAATGGCGTTTACATCGGTTGAGTTCCCCCATAAAATGATTCCATATCGAATCCAAGCGGCGGCATGACTGTGGTACGCGGCGAGTGCACACTCCTCGTTTGTGCACCGTACACCATACACCGAGTTATCTGGATATATATCTCACTCACTCTGGATTCCTTATTATTTTTTGTTTCTTACCTTTTCTTATAAAGGAGCCATCCTTATTAACAACGCTTATTTCCTTGATAGCCTCAAAGTTGACAGATTTATTTTTCTTGAAGTTGTCGAAAGCGAGATGGTCGCAGAGCCGGCTGACCTGCTCCTCTGTCACCGCCTTCCCGAGGAATGCAGCCACTCTCTTCACCGTTGACGGCAGGTCCTTATATTAAGAAACTTAATTGTATAGGCAATAATACCCTACTACATTATTAATTCAAGCCCTGGGGAACCCCCTGGCCATAGCCAGCTAATACGATTACGGTCTGATTCCATCCCACAGGAACCTTAAATTTTTCGGAATTCAGTACTTTTTGTGTGAATCGTATCGTAAGTATCAAATATACAAACACACAAAAAACACAAACTTTCACAATTATAATATTAGTTGAATAAATAAAGGTGCGGATTGGCGGGTTCTAACGATTGCAGATGCAACCGGGACCAACGGCTTAACGTGCCTTCCGAAGCACGGAGGAACTCGAGAAATTTTTGGTCACCCATCCAATGACCGACCACTGCGAAAGTTGCTTAACTACAACGATCGCAGCCGAACGCGCTAACCACCTGCGCCATCGAGCTCCTCATAAAGGTAGATAGAGAAGTGTCAATCTATAGAGAAGGCTACTCACATGCTTGTGATATTGTAATATAAAAACACAGAAATCTCACAAGAAATATCAGATATCCTCACCCTCAAGGCATCTTCGTAAAACAGGAACAACATATTAGGGTGGTCCCTCATCCGCCACGATTCTTTCACGTTCTCAAAATATGGAGTCCAATCAACTGAAATTCACGGTTTATAAATATAATAGAATATACATATCGAATGGATTGAATGGTATAACCTAATTTTTTTTTTTAATTATATTTCTAACCCCTTGTTTACACCAAGGTAATATGTACATGTATTTTAATACAATGGCTTAATTTTTCGTTCACACCTATATACCTACATGTAGTATACAATACTTGCATCAAACTTGTTAGATTAACAAAATATGTGAAGTAAGTAAGTGATTTATACTTGAGGAGCGCCTGTTCAAAGGGGGCTATTTCCGTATTTACTGACTTATAGTTTTTTCGTGAATTCTACTGGTATTCTAAGATCCTATCACAGCCTGTGTTTAGTCTTGATTGATTATTTCCCCTTCAAATTTGAACTTCAATTCGCGGTTCTATTCAAACGGTGCTATTTTTAGCTCATTTAAAAGTTTTTGTACGACACATAATATTTTTTTATCAAACTTTTCGAAGTTTTGTTTTAATTGGAAGCTACATTTATGCTAAATATATAAAACAACTTGGCATTGGTTATGTCATTATTTTTTAAGATAAAAACAACATGCATTATGGCAAACTCTATCAAATTTGCATGTTTTTTATAAGTAATGACAAGTAGTCAATGCCAAGTTGTTTTACACTTCAAAAAGTTTATTTGTTGATGCTATTTATTATCATACCTGATCAAAAGATGCTATTTTCCGAAAATCTGACCAAAAAGTGCTATTTTCATTTTTAATTACTTAATTTTGTGCTTTTTAATAATAACAGTAATAAATAAAACCCTAAAAATAAGTGGCCTCCTCATGAATTACCTGAATAAAAAAAATACACTTCACATAATATATCATCAAATCAGCATACGTTTATTTAATTTTATCAACATTTACTTAGCATGGAAATTGCCCCTTTCGAACAGATGCTCCTCACTTGTAAGATATTAGTCGCGGCACGAAACTCTAGCGCTGACCGTTATTGCGCAGAAGTAAAAATTAAGATGTGTTGGGGGAAAACGAGGTGCGCGGGTGGGCGAGCGTTGCGCCGATTGGCTCTCCAGTCGTACCCATGCGCAGCTATCCCCTCCGCATTTTGTTCAGCGCAAGAGTTACATGCCGCGACCTGTACTAGTTGCCTATGCAGTAAACGAAAGAATGTTTAAAAAAACCACAACAAGTATCCTACAAGTTTTGTTTAAAAATATGACATGTTTCTTGTTGGAAACAAGGGCTAACACTCACACCAGGCTAGCCCCAAAGTAAGCAATATAAGGTTTGTGTTATGGGTAACAGATAGAGGTTGCCCCGCTGGGAATCGAACCCAGGATTTCTAAGTAGGCGACGCCTTGAAACAACCGATTTGTATGCCAACAAATCACTCAGCCTCGGAGGTCGTCATCATTAATGAAAGCAATCAAATGTGAACTCAATACAGATAGCTACGGTTCAAGTTACTCAAAATTGACAATATCTCCAACTGTACCTATTTATATTGTTTGTTAGCTTTGAAGACTGGGATAGGATTCCCAATTTCATGAGAAAATTTGTCAGTTTGGATTGGTCTATACCCAAAAGTTATTGTTCTGGGAGCCATATAACTTTTTCTTTATTTTCTTGTATGTATATGTATGGGACACTACAAAGGCATTGAAAAAAAATATTTATTTTTCTTTTAACGAGAAGTAATCATTAGTAAAGGTACTTAATTGCAAATTATTATACTTTAGTTTTAGAATTAATGCCGCAATTAACAAATTTTAATTCCTCTTCCATGTCAAGAGCAATGATCAATGTCAGGACGCATGAGGCAGGGCATCTTAATGCGACTATTATGATGTGCGACGGATGCGACCATGGATTTATTTTTGAGCAAACGCTCATAATTTGACCAAAACTTGGTTCTAATTGCATCGTTGCTCTCGGGTGTGAGCGCTGATTGGTTCGATTGTTTGATGTCGCGTCGTTTGATTGGCTATTATCTATTAGAGAGAAGTGTAGTGGGAGCGAGCCGGTGACATCTGTCCGTACAAACGGTCTATGATCAACCTTCTAACCTCTTTCTGTGTTCTGTGATTTAAATTATGGATTCGGATTCTGATCGACACATAGTATGTGTATAATCTACAAGCATTAGAATACCCACGTTTATTTTCAATGAATAAATTCCAGAAATGCTTGAAGTTGCCCGTGTAGCCCATGTATCCGAAGAAGTGGTAGTGGTGGTAGTAGGAGACGGCCACGTCCCTGGGGTCGCGCGCCACGTGCACCACGCGGCAGGAGTCCAGCAGCGCGGGCGGCAGCAGCGACAGCGGCAGGTGCGACTTGATGAACCGTGGCGACGGCATCGACGACACTTGATCGAACGATTTGCTCATTGCGTCCAAAAAAGCCTTGTCTTTCTCATTACGTCCTAACACTGTTTGAGCTTTCTCGCCGTTAAAAAAAAGAGCAAACCTGCAAAGATTTGTATTTCCAATTAATAAAGGTTAGCTTTATGTTTCTTTCTTCGTTCGTTCGCAAACGTAGCCAAATTAATAAAATACGCTATGTGCTTACTCTAAGAAGGGGAATCTTTGCATGAGCGGAATGAGCTCAGCTTTAGCGTAGTCGAAATCGTTGGCGACCTGCCACACTAACTCTTGCATCCATGTTGTCCCTGCAAATATAATCGTGTGAATCTAAAGAAAAGTTTACTAGAAAAAAAATAAACAATGCGAAGAGATGACGCTGCCTTGCAGCTTAAGGCTAGGAAAATTTCGACGCGGCCAATAGGGCCGTGGTAGCATAATGGTCAGTGCATTCGCCCGGATCGCGAAGGGTGCGGGTTCGAGTCCCGTCCGCTGCCTGGTCAGCGTGGATTTTTTTTTTCTAGTAAACTTTTCTTTAGATTTAAACATCTAGCAATTAAATGCTTAAAAATAAATAAAAACATAACTATAATCGTGTGAGTTTAAATCTAACTGCTTATATACACGCTCCAACCGACAGACTGATACAGTGGTTATAATGGGTCAGACAAATGCCTCGCCATCTGTGATGAATGAGTTTATTTCCTCCCCGTTGATAGAATTTATTGACATACTAACAAACCCGGCGAACTCCGTTTCGCCACCAGATGGCTTCGTTTTATGTAACATTTCGTTTGGTGATTAAAAGAAGTTTTTTTTTTTAATTTTTCCTGAATTTTCTTTGCTATAAACCTCACGGAGCCCGAGACCTTTCCAACGAATGCAAAACCGTGGAAATCGGTTCGTGCGTTCTGGAGTTATAGCGTCAGGAAGGAAAACCCGACTTATTTTTATATAGTAGATTAATTTGAGAAGCAAATCAACATACAGCAGAGAGTTAGGGCATAGCGCATTTTCCGCTTTGGAACGCCCGTCTGTGGAAGAAACCTTCAACTTACTCAAGATCACAGTAAAATAACACTAGGGTCAAGTAGAGGACAGTATTACGTAAGAAATATCTCTGCCATTTTCTTATTTGTCTACGGTCTGTCTTGACTTGTTATTATTAGTTTCATATGCCACCTAACAATATTTAATACCCCTAGATACACCACGTGCGCTCAAAATGTGTTCCAATTTCAATCAAGAAGTGCTTGAACACGACTGGAGCACTTCTTGGTTTACACTCAGTGACGTGCGGACCGTTGAAAAGTCTACATGCCGCAGAGCTCCGGTAAAAAATGCGAAAAAAATACTTATAGTACGAAGAGTTTCGTTTTTTGTCAGGTAATTGTTAATAAAACTGTAAATTATATCTTTTAGCTGTGTGTTAAATTGGTTTATTATAATTTTGTGGCTTATGGGCATAAGCCAATTATTTTCCCTTCACCAATATATACCGTTAATTTGAGTTACCTGAGAATGCTATCAAATTCTCGATCTCTATTCGAATTAAAAAAAATTGCAAAGAATTTAGTAACTTTACAATTTTAGGTGTCATAAATTGATTCAAATAAACCTATAGAAAGTATATTGACGACCTCCGTGGCCGAGTGGTTTTTACGCCGGGTTTCATGGTGTTGCCGACTCGAGAAGTCCCGCGTTCGAATCCCGGGGGGGGGCAGGTGTTTGTGTGATGAATACGAGCATTTGTACTCCAGTCATGCATGTTTAATATGTATTTCTATATAAATATACTTATATATGTACTGTATAATGTATTTTATCCGTTACCCTAGCATCCCATAACACAAGCCTTACATTGCTTACTTTGGGGCTAGGCTAATTGGTGTGAGTGTTGGAAATATTTATTTATTATTTATATACATACTCTATTTAGCTACCTATGTTCCTTAAAAGTTTACAAACGATATTCATTTTTTTTGCATGGGTGTGAAGTACGTTAACTATTTATTACACTATTTTTATTAATACGATTTTTAAGTTTCTTAGGTAACTCTAACAATTTACAATAACAATGTACGGTGTGTAGACAAAAATAAACTTCTTACCTGATTTTGGATATGATATCACCCAAACATCGTCTGGTCTAAGTTCCATATTGTAGATTTTTGGAGCCTCTTCTGCAAACCCACTAATAAACCAATAGCCCTTTGGACCGACACGTATAAAATCTTCTATAGTACCTGTATCTAAAATATATGGGAGATTTTAATAAATGCATTCGCACTACCCACGCTTTTGATGCCAAATAAAATAAAGGCGCTGTTAATGTACAGTTTCAATCACCAAAGTGACTTCGCAGTGACAAAATGTAGGTACTTCATCAGTTAATTCTGTAATTCGCAATAGCTTCCAGGAGATATGGAATTGGGGGCAGAGTAAAGTGATCAACGCGCAAGCAATACCTACTTAAGAGCGGACGCGAACTGAGAGCTTTTGAGAAATAGGTATTTGAAAAAACTGTTATACATGAAAATCAATTCTTTAGTGATAAAAATTCGAGTCGAGAACGTTTATATGGATAAAACATTGCCCGCCTCCCCTTTTAAGGGGCCGCAAGCTTAAAAAAATACTATGATAGCCTCTTTATCACCATTTAGGCTGAGCACCCACGGCGCGATTTTCTTCCGCGCCCGCCGCAGCTGCGGTTACCGCAACTCGCACAATATGTGACATTGTAGGTAAAACGCAAAAGCAAATTTCAGTGTGTGAATTACGGCTGCAGAGCACAACGAAGAGCAAGTTGAGTAGGCTACATGCAGCCAATAGATACTCATGGCTTCGCAGCTTTTAAATGGATTTCGATAACTTCATAATTTATATATATTTTAAGAACTTTTTTCTAAAGAAAGAAAACTGTTGTATAGAATAGGCAACGCGCTAGCAATAAAATTGCGATCTTATTTTACATATCTATAATATCCTATTATCATGAATTATGGGTATAATAACATGTATGAAATTTGTAAAATTTGCTATCTTCAGCAAGTATAAATAATGAAGTTTTGAAACGATGATTTGCAAAGGAAATGTGCTATTTTCACATTCAAACTTCAACTATTGTCTACACACGAAGAACATTTTATAAACCCTTCCTTTCAAGAGATTTATTCAAGAGCGAAGCTACACGCGAGCAACATTTATTTATGGTCTCACAAACTTACATCAAATTTTAAAAAAATAACTTATTTTAAACAATGTACAAAATATTATTTAGAAAAATATGAGATAGACCTCTTTCTGTGTTCTGTGAGATAGACTATGCAACGCAGAAAAATATCTAGGTATAATATTCAAGTACTTTAGATGTCGCAAGCATAAATACCACTTATACCATAGTTATTATTTTTAAGAACTTCTTTCAAAATCGAAAAGCAAATAGGTACAAAAGGCAACGCGAAAGCAAAACTTTTACTAGAAAAAAGCTTTGGGCTGGTAATTATTCCGCAATGTTTTGTTCAACACGTCATTTAAATTACATTAAATTTGTGATTTGAGTAAACAAAGACGAAATACTCCGTAAGTAACCCAAGATTATTATATATATTACTTATAAGGTCATTGCTACCACACAACAGAAGTGGGTTCTGGTACTTACTGAAACGATATGATGCTAATTTTACTCTTTTTTTTTAATCTGTAACTTATACTTACAATTATAGCCGCTTTCGAAAGGTTTAGAAAGAATTTCTTTCAATGAGATAGCAGAAGAAAGAAATTATTGAGGTTATTAACAGTAACCGAGCACTCTACACACAACGGCATCCATAATTCCTTTAAAAATATAAAAAATTAAATTTATATATAAATTCCGGATAATTCACACAAATACTTAATTCAATTTAAGCAGAGTTCTCATCTATAAATATTCTCGTAAGAATAATTATTTATTTAGAATCACGTCTGCAATGTCGAATAAACTCGAAGTTTTAAAGTCGAGAGCCAAACTAACTTTTTTGTTGCCAAACAGTTCGAATTTGAGGCTCATTTCACCTTATTCGTGTGAATTTGATGCGCTGGCTTTTTTGAGCTGGGTGTCGTTAATTATTTTCGGCCTAATCGTGTAGTTACCTCCATTAAAGTGTTTAAACACTTCCGCATACTCCTCCTTATCCAACTTCTTTATTTCAAAAGGATAATAAGCCTTTATATTGCCGTTCATTTTATTTACTTCAATATTATTAAGGCAGTGGCTAAAACAACTTACTGTTTACTTGCTCTGAAAAAAAAACATGTAATTTTATTTAACTCATTTTTTCCCCCAATAAAAATTAATTAAGAAATCTAAACATCTACTTACTAGTATAATTGAAATTTGCTAACTTTAAAAAAATCTTTAACTTACATAACCAGCGCAAATGTGTACACGACAAGAATATATATAACTGTGAAAAATCTTCGTATGCGTTTTCGCATTGTGCATTATCACACCAAATTCAGGGTCATACAGATAACCAATGACATAAAACCCAAGTGTGAGTCGGACTCGCGCAGGGAGAGGGTTCCGTACCATTATCAATACAAAATTACACACTACATTATAACATCGAGCAAAAATGGCAAAAATTACGTCTGTTGTATGGAAGCCCGCTTTAAATATTTATTTTAATTTAATTTCATTATTTATTTTAAAGTGAATATACAATTAAATATTCTGTGAATATTTCAAGCGACCGCTTGTTGCCGTTATTAATATAGAGCAAAAAACGGCATAGAAACACTTTTGTTGTATATGAGCCTTAGAGACGGCAACAGAAATACATTATCTGTGAAAATGTACTTAGCTATTACGGTTCATGATGTACAACCTGGCTGGATTCTTAGTAATAGGGTACCGTTTTTACCCTTTCGGTACGGAACCCTCATAAAAATGATAAAATAAGTATGCATATACTTTGTAATTATGACCAGATTGCGAGTGTAGCATGTGTTACACTCGCAAAGTCTGTGGTGATACCTAATTAAAGCTGAGCCTCAGTTATATTTGCGTCTGGAATCACCCGAGATACTCCGGATGATCCCTGCCATGGAGCCCCGGCTAGGCCGGGAAGCTGTCGTGCGGAGACGTGGTGAAATCCCACAATGGGGATCCCACGGTTCCGTACCTAAACAGTGTAGAGGGTATACGGAGGTTTTTTTTTTTGAGTCCTTAGTGTAGCGAGGGATTTAAGTTCACCCAAGACTAAGACAGCTTTATCACTGAGGAAAATACTCTACTTTTCGTACCATTTGCGAAAAAATTAACACAATAATAATATGAGATGAGCATTTATTAAAAATAATGACAATTAAAAGTAAAAGTTAACATTCGAAACATTGGTCCAATTAAATACGGCCTCGTCGGTTTTCGTAATTTTATTTAATAATCATAACTGCACAATAAATGCGTATTCCTTTTTCAAAAAGATGTATAATACTTTATATATACAAACTCAATGGTGTAAACACAGATGTAGTTCAGTATAAATTTCGGTAAGTATTCCAAATTTAAATCACATTCTCCCCCTAGAGGATGAATGAAATTCAGTACAATTTTCTTTCCCCGTTTTTAACAGATTAAAAATGACTATTGTTATGTTCGCTTTTTGTGGCATAGAATGTCACGTTTTTGAGCAAGTGGTACGAAAATTATATTTTATGCATGAAAATCATTTCTTGAGTGATAAAAATCAAGGAGGAATCAGTCGAGAACGTTTGTATGGAAAAAACATTGCGGTCCTACCCTCTTAAGAGCGCCAACGTCTGTAAATAGAAGTTATGCTTGTGCGTAAAAAAAAGTGTAGCGTAATTTTCCTGTGGCGATCACTTCTGTTAATTTATTTGCTGATACATGTGGAGCTATGAGCTATGGATTACAGAAATATCATTTTTTTGTAAGTAAAATTCTTTAAAGGCTTGTCGTGTTAAGTACATCATTCCATCTAGTCAAATAGAGAAAGAATAAGGTTTAAACACAATTAGCTTTTTAATTAGTAATGTTAAGAAATTTGATGCAGTTAGGAATTAGTTAATAAAAAAACATACGTAAGACCTAGGTTTTGTCAATTTTATTACTATATTTAAACCACAAATCAACATGGTTGTCAATTATCTTGTCCAGTAATAAAGATATAAGATTATCATATAGGTATCAGACTAACATTATAATATGACATCATGGAGGATACGAGTATAAAAATCAAGATGACCTACGAATAAGTCAATGACAGTTGATAAACACGTGTGTGCATCAGTCAACATAATATGACACCCATTTTGATAATGTTCACGAGTCGGAAACCTTGTCTAGACCCTGTCAAATGCTTAACCCATGCATGGTATAGTTGAACGATTGGTCTTCAGGACATTGCACTTTGGCTGGGCTACGTTTATCTTTCCTTTTGCGGGTTTCTATACACAGATGGCCGATATCCAGGAAGAACTGGGCTAGCAAGCACCAGTCCCGTGTCTCGGTCCATCAGTCTGCCGAAATTACTCTGGTACGGCGATCAGGAATCGAGGAAGATGTCGTTTCAGGAACAGTGTGAAAGACCTTCAGGTCTACTTTAGGTGTCGCGAGTGTAATTACGCGTTCGCTTCGAATTGGCTGCTTCCACCCTCCCAGCTTCAGAACACCGCACTTTAGACAGTCCCTATTAGTCGACCTTATTGGACGATGGTACCAGTTGATGTACCTATGATTGGCCATCGACTGCCAACTCGAAGCAAACGAGTAGTATTTAACGGGACTAATGTGAATTAACTTTTCTCTTCTTTGTTTTTCACCTCCCTATTTTCTTGTATAGTACCTACTTTTATCTTTACTATCCTTCTATGCTTCCGACAGAAGTCGGAAAGAGGAAGTTCCGTATATCATTAAACACGTTCAATTTTGAATACGAATAACCTAGTTAAGTGACATATTGTACATAATTGAATAAAAATACTATGAAAAAAAATGTGGCTAGAAACCTCAGGTTGTGGAAAATGACCCTATCAAGGCCCATGTGAGTGTAGAGTCATTATTAGGGGCCGGTTTGGTATTCATTAAGAATGGCTTTACCTATACTCTCTTCAGGGGTGAAAAAATATGGTCTGGTAGACCCTTGGGTTTTTTTCGTAGACGTGTAAAAATGAGTTTTTTTTGGAGTTTAATAGGATATTTAATTTTTATTTATTTATTAAGGGAACTTCGATTCATCAGTGAATGATACAAAATAAATACAAAACCAGTTACTTTTTTCTGTCATGAATTAAAAATACGAAATACTATAAATTTTGTTTTGACCTATAATACAAAATAAAATAACATGACTATTTTTTAATTTGAAATACAAATTGCAAAAGAAGTTCACCATAGTGCCTTTCGATTCAAGAAGAAGATTATCTTTGCACACTAGAAACACACCACATTAAAATTTTATGCCAATTTAACCGGTTTAAAAAATAGGGGTTCGTGTTATATTTATTGTATATTGTCGCCGGTAATATCGTTTATTGGATTCTGAACTTAAATATTTAGAAAATCGTGCCAGAAAGTTCCAAAAAATTTATAATTGATAGGGACGATGTCTTTGTTAATGAAATGAATACAGGTAAAAAACTATATGTGTGTGCCAAATTTCATCCAAATCAAAAAAAAAATTGAAAAATAATTTGTTTAAGGTAGGTTAACATGTAACCTGGGGATATTTTTTATTATTATCGTCTACACCATCGTGTTGGGTATCGTTGAATAGGTTCTTTAAAATTAATTAGGGCTTTCAGCCGCAATTATATTTAGCCCACGCCGCGTGTCGCCACGCTGCCTGACGCAACGGCGGGTTATTACATTTGCGTGTCGTGTCGCCGCGCGGCCTCACGAAAATTCGTCTCAGTCAGTACAGTGGTGGCCTTTGGAGTAGACGTCTACAATGTTTTCTTCAGACTCGGATACAGATTTTGAAGAAAATTTAGCATACCTGCTCATGTTAAGCCTACTCAAAAAGGAAAGAAAGAAAAGGAGATATTGGGTACATCCAATAAATACTTCAAGAGGAAGCCGAAGTGAATATCATTTGTTGGTGCAGGAACTAAAAAGCGATGAAATTAAATTTCAACAGTACTTCAGGATGACAAAACAACAATTCAATTACATACATTCTTTAATTGAACAAGATATTAAAAAGATTCATACCAGATTTCGCCGACCCATTGGAACAAAAGAAAGGCTAGCAGTATGTTTGAGGTAATTTTTATTTTGTATTAAAAATTAACAATTTTAACAAGTACAAAACTATTATATTAATCATTCAAAGACGGTGCTCAATTAAAAGTTACACCGCTGTAATAAGTGGACAAGTTTTCTTCTCCGGTTGAATTTGAATTTTGAGCCTCAGGATCGAGTATGGACTGGGATTCAGGTGAAAAATCATTTATTTCTGTAGGTGAATTATGATAGTAGTAAGCACTGGATGGCTCTGGAAGAGGCTGGTTACTTGGCGGAACTACCGTTTGAGAAACTATTCTAAGCGGTGTCTTTATTACACGTTCCATTTCAATGTTACGAATTTCAGCCTGAGAAATAGCCATATGTAGATCTAATTTTATTTTTGTTTGGTCTAGTTTTGGTAGTGCTTTGACTGCTTTGCTCATACTTAAGAAAAACATGTCTGTTTCATCCAAGTCCAGCTTTGACTGTAGTTTTTGTTGCCTCTGATTATGCTGTGTCTTCATCATATTGTAAATGTCTGCTAAATCAGGTTTTCTCTTCGAAGATGAGCTCCTTTGAGAATATGAACTTAAGCTGCTTTGTTGTGACTCACTCCTGAAATCAGGCGGACTTTCAGGAACTTCAGGACTTTCTGCAGGCAATTCCGATGTGATGGTCTCTGCAGATGTCGACGGAGATGATGGCGGTATCAAATTAGTCTTAGTGTTTCTCATTTCCATGTATGGACGTAAAAACCCCATTTGATCTTCGTATTTCCATGGAGTCCCTTGCGTTGCCGCTTGCCCAGATTTAGTTTTTCGTCGTTTTAGTGCACTACAGTATGCGTTGCGTAATTTAGCCCAATTATCTTTGCATTTTTCAACTGAAACAAAAATCGTTACTTTAAGAGCTGATAGTGTTAGTATATTAAACATCTATTTCCCACGGAACATAGTTCGAAATATGGAATTAAAATTTAGTTGTTCATAGTG